AATAGCGCTGTAATAATCTGAGCAAACAGTCACCCACAGAAATCACATGTGTTGGTCAAAAGGCGGAAATATCGCAGCATTTTTGTAAATGGGCACTACGCATTTACATCTTCAAATGAACGCAGAAAAAGAAAAAAAAGGATATTTAATTCAACAGTTCAGCGAACAAAGCTTTAGATATTCCTTTTGAAATGCCCAACGAGGATTACTTTACTCTTGTTAGTTTGTGTTGTGACTTTCAAGGTATCAACATATTTTAGTTTATTGCTTCTAAACTTAAAGCCCTAGTACTTAAAATACTTCATTTAGCATTACCACTTTCACCCTGAATATTGTCCTGGCGTCTGCTAAAGGGGGTTAAACTTGTTTGCTGGATGACCCTTTTTTGGGGGGAAACCATTCTGAATTTTAATGATAGAAATAAGTTGTTTTCCTAAATAACACAGACCAGTATTCAGGAAAAAAATGAGGACAGGTGCAGTGAAATAAGAATTTTATGACATGTTGATGCCTGAAACTGACAAAATACTGATATTCAGTGGGTGGGCATATACTTCAGGCACCAAATTGTAGCGTACAATGTCTCAGGCACTTCGCATCAGTGTGGTGCTGGAGTCGTATAGTGCTACATTATTTGGCATAATTTTTTGTTTGTTGGACCACCAGGTTGAATGAAGAACATTGCTATAATGCCATGTCAGTATCATATCTTGTCATACAATATCATTGTCATATTCTGTAATGACATGTCAGTATGCTGTTCTATCATGCAGTGTCCGTGTCATTTCATGTCATGTAATGTCAGTGTAATCTTCTATAATGCTGTGCCTTCTGTGTAGTAGAGGTGCAGATAGATTATGCATGCATAACTCAAGTTCTGACATAAGGCAAAAGTCCAGAAGTGGATGTACAACCAGAACAGTGAATGCTAAGAAGAAGAAGACGAAGATAAAGCTTTGTCATTGTAATGCGCCCTATACTGTTTGAGGAAAACAGACATACACACTAAAAATTACTTTAATGTATAAAAACCAAATAGTTATTACATTTTACACTAATAAACACTTACTTACTTACTTAGTCGCTCCTCTTCTACCTTGGGGTGTAGAGGTTTGCCAGAGAGATCGCCAGACGTCTCTATCAGCAGTTTTCTTTCTGGCTTTGTTCCATTCCAGTCCTCTGTCAGTCAGGGACTGTCGGATGTTGTCTTCCCAGCGCACCCTGGGTCGTCCCGGAGGTCTGGTTCCCTGGTTCTTAGCCTCCCATGCTTGCCATGGTGGCCGATTTTCTCCCATTCTGCACACATGTCCAAACCATCGTAACTGTGACTGATCCACTCGGGTTAGTAAGGGCTGGGTATCAAGATCTTGACGTATTGTCTGATTGCGGACTTTGTCCCTTCTTGTCACTTGGACCACCTTTCTCAGGTATCTCATTTCCGAGGCCTGCAGCTGGCTTCTGTGAGCTGTTGTCATTGCCCATGACTCACACCCATAGGTCAGGACTAGTAGATAGGTAGAGCGGTAAACAGCCATTTTCGTTCTCTTGCCAATTTCTCTTTTGCTAAGAAACCCTCGGTTTATGGCCTGGAAGAGTCTCCCAGCAGCTGCTTTTCGTGTAGCCAGCTCAGTCTTAATGCCTCCATTTTGGTCTAATACAACTCCAAGGTATTTGAACTGGTTAACCTGCTCCAACGCATACTGACCCATCATGATCTGGTGTTTCTTCTCCTCTCTTGAGATCACCATGGTTTTAGTTTTGGAGACACTGATGGTCATCCCTTTCTTTTCAAGCTCTTCCTTCCAGACAAGTAAGTTGGACTGAAGGTGTGCCTCTGATTTAGCTATCAGGGCCACATCGTCTGCAAAAGCCAGCTCTGATATACAGATTGGTCTCATCTTCCAGTACCCTACAGAGTACTTCTTTGTCTTCTCCTTACAGGTCTTGATGACATCATCCATCATAAGAATGAAGAGGTAAGGTGAGAGAATATCACCTTGTCTAACACCGCTGGTGGTCTTAAATTCTTCTGACTTTTGGTCTGCTGTTCTTACATAATTTCTGCACTTTTTGTAGAAACTCTGTATTGCACTGATCAGGGGTGCTGGGATGTTTTTCCCTGCCAAGCAGTCCCAGAGCTTGTTCCAGGGTACCTTGTCAAATGCCTTTTCCAGATCCAAAAAACATAAGTGAATCTCACTCTTATATTCCAGGGCTTTTTCACTCATCTGTCTCAGTGTGAAGATAAGGTCTTGAGTACTTCGGTTTGCTCTGAAGCCGCACTGGGCCTCGTCCAGCTGTGGCTCTACCAGACTTCTAAGTCTCTGCTCAAGAATTCTAGAGTAACTTTTACCGGGAATGCTGAGGAGGGATATGCCTCTGTGGTTTTCACATTGTCTGTTATCACCTTTTTTAAATATAGGTATAATGATGGCAATCTCCCAATCTTTTGGTATAGTTTTGCTACACCAGGCTGCCTGGAGAACCTTCAGTAGAAGGCGCTCACCTTCGACTCCCATATATTTGACCATCTCTGGTGTTATACCATCATGACCTGCTGCTTTTCCCAGCTTAATCTTCTCAATAGCTGCCTTCAATTCTTCCATCCTGATGTTATCTTCCCCATGATTGAATTCCTTCTCAGCAGTGAGGTCCATTATTTCTGGGTCATGACTTCCCTCAGCGCCGAGGAGCTCTGAGAAGTATTCTTTCCATCTGCCCATGATATCATTTGTAGAAGTAAGCAGAGCCCCTTCCTTGTCTTTTATGAATTTAAGTGGGCACTCTTTCTCCTTCCTCATGTTCTTAAGGGTCTTGTAGAACAGTTTTTGGTTTTCTCTTGCATTCTTTTCCAACTTTTCTCCAAACTCTTCCCATGATTTCTGTTTTGCTTTAAGCACAATATTTTTGGTCTCTGTTCTGAGTGCCACATATTGTTTATATTTTTCTATTTCTTCAGCTGTGTTCCTGGCTGCCAGGTATTGCTTCCATGCCCTTTTCTTTTCTCCTATTTTCAATTTGACTTCTTCTGTCCACCAAGGTGTCCTGTGTCCCCCGCCTTCCACTTGGGACTTCACCACATGCTTCTACTGCAGCTGCTGTGAGGATATTCTTGAATCTGCACCAGAGAGTTTCAGTGTCCTCTGATGATTCTTCTTCAGTTCCTATTGCTTTCACTATAAGCTCCTGGTATCTAGCCTTAATATCTGGCTCTCTTAGCTTGTATGCTTTAATCCTCATCCCTTCTTGGTTGCTTGGTTTTTCTTGCATAGTTGTCGGTGTTGCCTTGTTGGAGCAGTTCTTTCAGTTGTTCTCTTTTTATTGTGACCAGATAGTGGTCACTTCCAATCTCTGGTCCTCTCATGACTCTGGCATCTCTCACAAACTTGAATGAACTTTTCCTAACTATGGCGTAGTCAATGATGGATTTTTCATTCTTTGAAGGTTCACATCTTGTGTATGCATGTATACGCTTGTGGGGAAATTTTGTGTTTGTAATGACAAGGTTCTGTTCCCTGCAGAATCTGAGAAGTCGCTTGCCATTATCATTCAAAAACATCTTCACCATATCTCCCGATCACTCCACCCCATCTAGAGTGATCATTTCCTACTCTGGCATTTAGATCTCCTAGGAGGATAATTTCATCGTGACAGTCATCTATGGTCTTTTTGGAGCAGTTCAAAGAATTCTTCTTTAACATCTACTCGCTCATCTTCATTTGGCCCGTACACAATGACAAAATTGACAATTTTATCTTCTTCTTTCAGATCTAACACCATTATTCGCTCTGAGATGAATTTCCATCCCTTGATGTTACTAACTTGATTCCTGGCCACAATACAGCCAACACCTCCCTTGGCTCTCTCCGTCATAGGGGACACCACTGTAGAGCAGCATACTTCCATCGTGATCTGTGATTCCTTGCCCCTTTTTCTTGGTTTCAGTCAGAGCCAAGACTCCTAATTTTGCTTTCCTCATCTCCCCTACTAACTCGTTTTCCTTTCCGTTAATGCCTCTTATATTCCATGTTCCATAAATCGTAGTCCGTAAGCCATGCCAGTTCGTCGCCGTTAAGATCCGTCCGGTTTTCTCTCTGTAGTTACTTGTAATCGTGGTTTAAGGCAAACAGGTGATTGGCCTGTTGTGCCTTTGCATGGTGGAGGGGCTGCCTCCTTGCGGCCTCCATGCAGGCCGTCTGGCTGATTCACGGTTACCCACTACTTCCGGAGACGCATGAAGCACTCAGGTTCAGCCAGACCCTCCTCCTTTTACAGCCGGGCTTGGGACCGGTCTTAGCGGACACTAATAAACACACACATTTTTATTTATTTTTTCATTTGATTCTATTTGATATGTGGCTTGAATTGTCTATGCACGCGTGCATCTAACGACCCACCAACCCATCCATCAGTCCATCCCTCCACCCACCTATCCAACTGTCCATTTACCCACCCACCCATCCCTCCACCAAGCCATCCATCAATCAGTCCATGCATCGACCCATTCATCCATCAGTCTATCCTTCCACCCACCCACCCATCACTCCACCTACCCATTCATCAATCCATTCATGCATCCACCCATTTATGCATCAGTCCATTCATCCACCCACCCACCCATCACTCACCAACCCATACATCAATCCATCCATGCATCAACCCATTTATCCATCAGTCCATCCATCCACCCACCCACCCATCAGTCCACCAACCCATCCATCAATCCATCTATGCATTCACCCATTCATCCATCAAACCATCCATTTACCCATCAGTCCATCCATCCAGTTTCAGTTCTCGTTGTATGTGGGTTTTTCTTAGATTCATTAAGTGATAGACCTATTTTTTTATTTTCTTTATTTGGTTCATGCTTTTTAATGTGTCCCGAATTGTCAGTGCATACATGCTTCCACCTACCCATCCATATTTCCACCTGACCATCTACCCATCTATCAGTCCATACAGTTACAGGTCTCTGATGTATGTGTCTTTCCCCCTAGATCCATAAAGTGATAGACCAACTCCCCTTTGATAACCCTGATGGCGGAGCTTGGAAGCAAGGGTGGCAGGTCACATATCCGCCCACTAGATGGACGGCAGAGAACAAGCTGAAGATTGTGCTTGTGCCTCATACACACTGTGATCCAGGTGAGTTGTCTGCTCAACATAAATTATGTTTTATTATTGTTGTAATAGTGGTGGTGGTACTAGTAGTAGAAATAGTAGTAGCAGCAGTAGTAGTAGAATAAGACCTTGTAGTAGTAGTAGTAATAATAACAGTAGCAACAGTAGTAGTAGTAGTAGTAGTAGTAGTAGTAGTAGTAGTAGTAGTAGTAGTAGTAGTAGTAGTAGTAGTAGTAGTAGTAGTAGTAGTTGTAGGAGCAGCAGCAGTAATGGTGTTGGCACTAGTAGAAGTAGTAGTGGAAATAGTTGCAGAAGTTGTATATATTGTAACAGTAGTAGCAGTAACATTAGTAACAGTAGTTGTATTAGAAATAATCAGTAACAGTAGTAGTGAAGTAGCAGTAGTAACAGTAGTAGCAGTAAAATTAGTAACAATAGTTTTATTAGAAATAGAATCAGTAACAGTAGTATTAGTAGTAGTAGTAGAAGTAGCAGTAGTAGTAGTAACAGTAGTGACAGTAACATTAGTAACAGTAGTTGAATTAGAAACAGTAACAGTAGTAGTAGAGTAGCAGTAGTAGTAACGGTAGTTGCAGTAATTGTAGTTGTATTAGAAATAGTGTGCGGCTCTGTGGCTTAGAGGCTAGTTAATGCGGTTAACAATTTCATGACCCTCAAGTACTGTGTTTCATTCCTGGAGGCAGATGGGTAAAAAATCCGTTCTCATAGTTTTCGGGCAATGTTACGAGAGTCTCACCGTGGAAGAGATTGGGGCCTCACCATGTAATATTCCCAAAGAGAACAGTGATTAACTGTAGCCAGCCTGAATTGAGGAGATGGCACCGAATTTATAGTTTATATTAGAAGTAGTAGCAGAAATTACATTAGAAATAGTAGCAGTAACAGTAGTAGGAGTAGTAGAAGTAGTGACAGTAACATTAGTAGCAATAACAGAAAAAGTAGCAGTAACAGTTTATTAGAAGTAGTAGCAGTAACAGTAGTTGTATTAGATGTAACAGTAATAGTAGAAGTAGTCACAGTAGTAGCAGTAACAGTAGTTGTATTGGACATAGTAGCAGTAACAGAGGTAGCAGCAACAGTAGTTGTATTAGGAGTAATAGCAGTAACACTAGTAGAGGGGTTACCTCATTATTGCTTCATTCCTTTGCCAGTGAAAATTACACAAAAATCCTTTCACTGTCCCATTGGAAAACTAGTGAACAGTTAGTGCCGGCAAAAACCAGAAGTGTGAACAAACAGTTCCCCATGTAGGTTTTGAGGTCCCATTTTGGGGAAAACAAGAATAGACCCGCTGCATACTCAAAATCACGACGAAAGAGTCTACTAATTGGGAGCTTCCTTCAAAGTCATAATGTATCTGCCTGAGAGGCAAAGAACCAACAGTCTGCCTACAGATGAGTCAGATCTGTAAAATGGATGTGCATTCAACACTCATGTTCTGGAACGGGATTGGAGTCTAGAAGTGGACAAATAACCAGAACTTTCTGCACGAGGTTACAGCTAGTCAACACAAAGAACAACACATTGGGATTAATTATTAGGACTTAGTCTTGTCTTATCTCTGATCCGGCTGTGTAATTATTTTAGTCTCTGTGTTTATGGAAGCCTCCTTGGATGGTGGGAAAATGCCCATGATCTGCTCTTGCCTTTCCTTAAGGGCCCACCACTCTAAACAAGCTAGCCTTAGATGAGTTCTCCAGCGACAAGACATGGTTGTAGAAAATATTCAGCAAGCAGTTGCTTGAAAACAAAAGAAGGTGAAATATTAGTGGACAAAGAAAAGGTAATTAAAAAGATTGACAAGAGTATATAAAAGAGCTGTACGATGGTAACAGCAGACCAGACATAGAGTCATGAATATTGAGAAGAACTGCCAGTACTGAAAGCAGAAGTGCAAGGTTCAATAAACTACATGAAAAATGTAAATCTCTAGAGTCAGATAACATCACAGTTGAAGAATTAAAAGCTGCTGGTGAACTGGGTTTGGAAATATTGACAAAATTATTCAATGAAATTTAAAATAGTGAACAAGTGCCTGACGACTTTTTGAAATCTTTTTTCATACTTTTACAATAAACACCTGATGCAGTGGATTGTTAAAAACATTGAACAGTTAGTTTAATGAGTCATTTAACAAAAATATTAATAGTATACAAGAAAATGTGTGTCTGCAGTGTTCTTCTTTCTATCATTGGGCTCCAGGCATTGCTGGTTCCTAGGGTACACACTCCCGACATCTCAGCATATGGAAAACACAATACTACCTGAACGCACAGCTGATTATACTTTCACAGTTTATTTGATTCACTCAATCGCCTTCGACAACTGCCCACTGTGGTGACAGTCCAGAATCTATCTATCTTCTTTTACCCCACCAGGACATCACACAACCGATAAACACCCGATGACACAAAGTGCCACCGTGCCTTTAGACCATATTTATGGCCGGGCTGTATTGCGGCCCCTGGCAAGAGCCAGAGTAGGGCTTCAAATATTGAAAAAATTGCATCCCACAAGGGGTTGACAAGGTTATCAGTAGTCCAGAATCATGATTCAAACATTTTATAATTCAGTAAGTCATTACTTTTACAACTGAATGAAACAGTGTGCAAAGGTATTTCAACGACGACATTCACAACTCTTCTCTTTTATTCTGCACAATATCCACCAGATGAGAATCGCCACCACAAGTATCCAGGTTTGCATGAGAACTTTCAGCCAGACTGATCAGATATTAACTTGGAACTTGTTCATCCTTTCAGATAACATGTACACTGTTCTGGAACTCAGACGAGACTGACTCTTCTTGTTTATTCTTTGACTTAAATAATCTTTCCACTTCTCTGTGTTTTCTCAATCATACGTCCACATAATTTCACGCTTTTATAACTTGGCTCGTGCGACTCAGTCTGCACGCTTGCTTTACAATCCGATGTGTAACTCGTTCGGACTTCACCAGAATGTTCTGATCTAAATTACATAATTTATGTTCCGTCCCTGACCTCATTATTAGTGCATACATTCCTATTGTAACATAATTTATCAGTGAGAAAATGATTCACTACAGTATCATAAATGATTGATTGTGCAGCAGACTTAAAGCTGTCAACAGAGCTGATTACCCAGCTACAGTATCATAAATGATTGATGGTGCAGCAGACTTAAAGCTGTCAACAGAGCTGATTACCCAGCTACAGTATCATATATGATTGATGGTGCAGTAGTCTGAAAGCTGTCAACAGAGCTGATTACCCAGCTACAGTATCATAAATGATTGATGGTGCAGTAGTCTGAAAGCTGTCAACAGAGTTGATTACCCAGCTACAGTATCATAAATGATTGATGGTGCAGTAGACTGAAAGCTGTCAACAGAGTTGATTACCCAGCTACAGTATAATAAATGATTGATGGTGCAGCAGACTGAAAGCTGTCAACAGAGCTGATTACCCAGCTACAGTATCATATATGATTGATGGTGCAGTAGTCTGAAAGCTGTCAACAGAGCTGATTACCCAGCTACAGTATCATAAATGATTGATGGTGCAGTAGTCTGAAAGCTGTCAACAGAGTTGATTACCCAGCTACAGTATCATAAATGATTGATGGTGCAGTAGTCTGAAAGCTGTCAACAGAGTTGATTACCCAGCTACAGTATCATAAATGATTGATGGTGCAGTAGACTGAAAGCTGTCAACAGAGTTGATTACCCAGCTACAGTATCATAAATGATTGATGGTGCAGTAGACTGAAAGCTGTCAACAGAGTTGATTACCCAGCTACAGTATCATAAATGATTGATGGTGCAGTAGACTGAAAGCTGTCAACAGAGCTGATTACCCAGCTACAGTATCATATATGATTGATGGTGCAGTAGTCTGAAAGCTGTCAACAGAGCTGATTACCCAGCTACAGTATCATAAATGATTGATGGTGCAGTAGTCTGAAAGCTGTCAACAGAGTTGATTACCCAGCTACAGTATCATAAATGATTGATGGTGCAGTAGTCTGAAAGCTGTCAACAGAGTTGATTACCCAGCTACAGTATCATAAATGATTGATGGTGCAGTAGACTGAAAGCTGTCAACAGAGTTGATTACCCAGCTACAGTATCATAAATGATTGATGGTGCAGTAGACTGAAAGCTGTCAACAGAGTTGATTACCCAGCTACAGTATCATAAATGATTGATGGTGCAGTAGACTGAAAGCTGTCAACAGAGTTGATTACCCAGCTACAGTATCATAAATGATTGATGGTGCAGTAGACTGAAAGCTGTCAACAGAGTTGATTACCCCAAGCTACAGTATCATAAATGATTGATGGTGCAGTAGACTGAAAGCTGTCAACAGAGTTGATTACCCAGCTACAGTATCATAAATGATTGATGGTGCAGTAGACTGAAAGCTGTCAACAGAGTTGATTACCCAGCTACGGGGCAAGGACTTTCAGAAGAAAATCCTAAGAAGACCATGTGGCATTGTTTAACTATACTTTGGGGCTGCGTTAGCGCAATCGTTAAGAGACTCACTTTGAAATCCAGCTGCGACTTGCTGCAGCCCATGGCCGGTTTTCGAAACCAGGCAGTTCTGGGGGTTCACCCAACCTCTAGGTAATGGGTACCAGGGTTAACACTCTGGGGTAAATGGAGTAACGTCACTGTAGCTACAGAGTTGCGTGCAGACGGCGACAGTTTCTTATCAGCTGTCTTTACTGGTGACAAAGCACTTATGGTTTAATAACCGTGTGCAAGGACGCTGGTTCACATCTCCCGACTTTACCTTTTGACTTTTATAACTATAACTTACTGTTGGATAACAATAACATATGCTATCTTTTTTAAATTGTGTTTACTTGCCAGGTTGGGTAAAGACCTTTGCAGATTACTACCAGAGCCAGACTAAGAAAATTCTGGACAACTTTGTGCCAAAACTGGAGCAGGATTCCAAGTACAAGTTTATGTTTTCTGAGATCTCCTACTTCTCCTGGTGGTGGTCAGAGATCTCCACGTCCATGAAGGACAGAGTACGAAGGTCAGCAGTTTTGTTTGGCTGCTGTAAAAGCACTCTTTTATGTGTAAATAATTTTGCTTAAATGTTGAATTCTTCTTCTTCTTTCGTTCGCTTGAAATAGATTATCTATATCTGCAATGTTGTCTCTAGTATGAACTTCACTGTCTGTTGTAATTCACTCATCGACCTGTAAAGATTAGCTTGCACTGATGTTTCTCTTGGCCAAATGTCTTGGATTTTCAGTTTTCAGTTCCGATGGCACCAGTGACCGTCTGATTGTGTATCCATCCCGCTTATCCCTTGAGTGTTGTTGAGTGTTAGCCAGATGCACTGATAACTGCTCGTGACGCCATTCTCCTCAGATTGTACTGATCTGTTTGTTCCTCCGCACTGTTCACTCACTCCCAAAGGGCCCCTGCCAGTATCAAGCAAGAGAAATTATCTGAAACACCCTAACTACCCTGAACCTCTGAAGTGATGCTTGCCACTCTGTACGGAGCATGCCTGTCTTCACTTTTCTTAGCATGCTCTGTGAGTCAGTTACAGTTAGGACATATGTGTACATCTGATTCTCAAGCCAGCAGATGGCAGCTCTGACTGCTCCCACCTCCATTCTCAAACTAGACGTTGTGATATCATATGCCAGGCTTTGTTGCACTAAGCGACATCCACTCACTTGAGCTATGAACCCCCATGCACTTCATCTGCCTCTCAACACAGAGCCATGTGTATAGATAATCACATTACCTGGGCGGGATTGTCATGAATCATTTGTCAAACTTCTGATTCTGCAGCACCAGCTGGCCACTCCCTGCACTCGCAACCTTAAGTGATTAAACAGGGTTTCCCACACTGTGCACGCGGCGCCCCAGGGAGCCGCAACCTCTTCACAGGGAAGCTGCAAAATATTGTAAAAGCTTCATAATTAATTTAACCAAGACACGAATAGTCATACTTTTACTCTGGTTAGGGCGCCGTGGGCAAAATTTTAATTGAAAAAAAAAAAGGCGCCGCAACCAAGAAAAGTTTGGGAAACACTGGATTAGATCATTACACAAGTCTGATTCTTGTTCTGACACTTTGACTTTTTCCCTCTCCTTTCCCAAATGTATCAAGCCTGTACACATGTCTAATTGTGTCTTTAGCTTGCACCATCCAAGACTATCCTCTTCTCAGTCTGTGACCCTTAGCTCAACCTAGGGCTTCATGCCGGAAGTGCTTCTTGTCTGCAGCTACTCTGAGATATGACGTTGCTTGTAATAGTAGGCAGTGCAAGTATATGTTGCATACATATCACCGGGGTATCGCTTGTACATGCCAAAATTACCTGAATGCCTTCATTCTGCATGCGTTCAAGTTTAATCAGCTGACTGATATGGTAAGCATTCCAAATCCATAACCAACAGGATCACATGCTGGAACATTGTGAACTGCGTTTGTTGTTCCATGTTCATTGCTGCCATAATCTTTTGAGTATTGAGTCCTTTTTGGCATTTCACACAGCTGCCTCCAATTGATCCCTAAAGGTAGGCTTGTATCGAAAATGATACCCAGTTAACTCAGTTTGCTTTCTCTTTTTGATGTTGCTGTTGAAGACAGTCAGTCACTTTGTCTACAGTTGCCAGAAGCTCGTGGGCTGTCTGTTGCCTATCGCTCCCCTGCCTATATGTGAGAACACCATCTGCAAATGACAATATCCTTCCAAAACCTAGTGCTTCAATTCTGCAGTCTTGCTTGTATACTCATTGAAGAGCACTAGTGAAATTGCAGAACTCTGGGCTAGTCCCGGGGCAATATTACATGGTTCTGAGGTCCATATACCCAGGCTAAGGGCAACCATACGTGAATACAGGACAGCTGCTATCCAGTTCACCAGCCAGGGACAAACCCCCTTCTCCATGAGTGCAGATAGCAAAATATATCTAACTCTATTGTAGGCATCCTAAAGTTCAGATTTTGACAGTACTGTTTCCTGTATATTCAGGAACCCCTCATAAACATCAGAAGCAAAAGTAGCTGCATTGGACCAGGTATCTTTCCGTGGCCGGTAACTACCCAAACCTTTTGGCAGGAGCTCTTCTCTTCCCAAAAGCATTTGTAGTTTAACAGCTATAATCTTCTCTAGCATTAGCCAGGGACAAACTTCTTCAAAATATATCTTACCCATATCATATCATATCATATCTGAAATAACACTAACAAATTGGTTTTTCGAAAATCAGGTTGATTATCAATCATCAGTTTTTCTTCATTGTAAAAAAAATTTGTTTTGGTTCAAATGTCAGTTTGATTAGCAATCATTAGTTTATACTTGATTGTAAAAGTATTGTGGAACTTCAGGATCCAACTTATCAGGATACGAGATCAGGCTCACCAATTTTTTACTGTCCCAGAGTACTAGGCAAAATCCATGATGGGAGCAGAGGTGGCAAGAACTCTCAGCATTACCCAACAGTTGATAACATTGCTGAAGGAGGATGTAAGTGAGTGGGCAAGACATGAAAGAACGATGCACTGCACCATCATGGTCAGAAGTAACCTGGTTTTCCGCTGTTGGCAGAACAAAAACAAGAAAGCAGTGCCACACATTATTCCTGGTAAATGAAACAAACAAAAAATGTCATTTTGAAACTAATAGGGTGATTTTTGTAGGTCTGGAATGAATTAAAATTATCAGAATTTGAATGGGAAAAATTGTTTCAGGATGCGAGTAATTCTTCATTGGACCTCAGTAATGAATAAATTAGATTTGCCTCCTGAGGTTCCTCTGTAATTTTGTTTGGGTCAAAAGTTTATTCACAATCATAAGTGGCAAAGTGGTTGAGCAGTTTGCCTTGCGCTCGGAAGGTCGTGGGCTCGATACACGGCTGTGCTGTTCTGTTCAAAGTGCGATTTTTTCAGAGATTTCTAGAGATCGTTGCTAGAGCTGTGGTTTTCATGCTTTGTGTGACGCTCTTGGTAGGTGGCAAGCAGGTCTGTGAAGAGAGACTGAGCTACCTGGGATGAAACCCGGTTCAATAAAGCCAATTCTCTTGACTTTAACCTTTTTTTTAAAATTATTTTATACTATAGTGAAAGAGTTATTTTATTTTGAGGTCTTATTTTTCTTCTTGGTTCGCTGGCTGTAAGCTCCAGCAGAAAGTCCTGGTTGTTCGTCTGTTTGGACTTTGGCTTTGTGCCAGGGCCTGAGTTTTGTGTGTACATCTGTTTTACTGGCTTATTTGTGTTGATCCTTATCTCTCGGGCAGATGCACTCTGACTTCGAAGGAAGTCCCCAATCAGTCCACCATTACAACATGCTTGTTGAGGAGGCAATTGGTCAATTTTTTCCCCTCCAGAATGGGGTCCCAGAACCCACATGGGGAATTTTTGAGGTCAAATTTCTGTTTTATTAGTGATCATCAGGTGCCTTGCCAACTGGCATGGGCAATCATGCCTCTCCACAATCTGTGATCTCCTGCAGCATGTATTAGTCCGTGTGCTGACACACCTCCGGCCATGCATCAAAACTGTCAAGCATCTTCTCTCGTTGTCTTCCTCTATCCCTCCTTCCACAGATCTTTCCAGTGGTCACAACATGTTCTATTTTCCCTATTCTCATAACATGTGTATACTTCATTGTAAAAATAATGTTGTTTTTTGCCTTCCAAATATCAGCTTGATAAACAATCATCAGTTTGAGATCTCGACCGGGGGCTGGGTGATGACAGATGAGGCCAACGCCCATTACTTTGCCATGCTGGACCAGTTGATAGAAGGACATCAGTGGCTGAACAATACACTTGGTGCGTGGCTTCTCTTGGTTACAGAAAAAAAGCATCTCTTCATCATTGCTGAAATCATCATCATTGTTATCATAAATTTATTATTGTGTCACCATTGTCATCATTTTATTATCCTTATTGGATTATAATCGTCATTATTATTATCATAATGTTATTATTAGGTCACTGTTGTTATCATTTTATTATCATTGTAATTATGAAAAACATTGTCGTCAGAATTATCTTAAGTATCATCATCACAGTGTTACTGACATGGAAAGTCATCATCATTACTATCATCTTCTTCTTATTTTTAGTGGTCACGTCTGTAAACTCCTGCTGGCAGTTCTGCCGTGCGCTTCTGAACTTAAGTTTTGTTCCAGAACTTGAGTTTTACATGCACATCCATTTTATTGATCTGGTTTATTTTTGTGCAGACTTTTGGTAATTCACCTCTCACACAGCTAAATGCATTCTGGCTTTGAAGGAAAGTGGGTCTGTTCTCCGCCCTTTCCCCTCCCAAATGAATTCAATCAGCCCATACAAGAAGTTGATATCTTAATAATCAGAGACCGTTTTAACATTTAATCATCATTTTTATTGTTCAATTGTTCTTCCTTATTGATATAATTTTATCATTATCGTTTTATCATAATTATTTTATTGTCATTAGTTAGTTAGTTCATTAGTCTTTCCTCTTGAGCTAAAGGCGGTGCATAGGGCAGAGATCATAGCTCTCCATGTCTGGCGGTTGGTTGCCACCTGCTTTAGATCTTGGATGTTCATTTGGCCTATAGTTTTTAATCGTTGTTACCAATTTATCCTCATCAATGTTACCCTTGTCATTGTTATGTTTTATTGTGTCATCATTGTTATCATAATTTTATTATTGTGTCACCGTTGTTATCATTTTATTATCACAATGATAATGCACTGTTAACACCACTCTCATTATTATAATTCTATTACCATAATTGTTATCATTTTTCATCACTGTTATCATTATAATAATTATCATTTTATCATCATTTGTTATAATTATCATCATTGTTCTCATTTTATCATCATCATGTTATGTGTAATCCTTGTTAATATTGCTGTTATAATTAGCACCAATATCATTTTCTCCATTATCATATTTTTGTCATGCTCACCGCCTGTTTGCCATTGTTTGGTTATTTATATTTTTCTTCTTCCATCTTGTATCCTGCAATGGAACATAAGCCCTCAACTAACTCACGCCAGTTGTCCTATCCTTCGCTATCGCACGCAGCTCTCCTCATGTCCTCCCTATCTTTTTAACTTCACTCGCTAGCTCTCTTCTCCATGTGTTTTTGGTCTGCCGTTACTTCTAATGCCCTGTAGGTTCTAGTGCAAAGACATTCTTGTTGAATTTTTCTCAGGTTCTTCATCATGTGTCCTATCCAACGTCAGCATCATTTCTTCATTTCATGATTCACTGAAAGTTGTTCAGTTCTGTCTGAAAGCTCAACATTAGTGATTCTGTCATACTACTTAATTCCATCCTTTCTATGCAATCACCAGTTTAAATGAATGTTTGAGTTATTAATCGTAGTGCTTTCATTTTCATTAGCATGCGTCAATAATGTCGCCATGGTAATTTTTGTCATCGTTGTTTTCATCTTTATTATTATTAACATTGTTGTTGGTCCAGTGATAGTTTGTTATTGACTAAGGATATCATTAACACTTTCAGGCTCTTGAATTTTGACAGACTTGGCCCACATTAATTTTCCTTTAAAAAAATTGTAGAGGGGGTGATGTACAAAAAAGGCATTAGAGAATGTAATATACTTCTAATCCCTACAAAAGTATATATGTTTTTAAAGAGAAATTAATGTTTATTTTGAATCTGATGATAAGTGTATGTTTAATGCTGTTATAGTAAGTTGGAAAGAATAAATTAGCACGTGTTAATTTCACAACAATGTAATTTTACCCAAAAAAAAGTCATCACTTACCATGGTTTTGCGCCACAAGAGTAGTGAATATCTAAATTTTAGAATAACACTTCAATTTCCTAACAAATTCTGAAGTTATGATAAGTTTCTTGGTTAGTTTAGCATGCAGGGGCTCTTAGTTCTCACAAAGTGCTGAACAAAATTTCAGAGAAAAAATTGCAGAAAAATGGGCCATTACACACAGAGTATTTACTTTGTACAATTATATACAGACTGTAGCTGCAATGATTTCAGTGTAGCTTAGCCATAGTATAGTTCTGTCTATTTGTTTAGAGCACTTTTCTTCTCTTACACCATAAATACGGTAGCAATGGGGTGTTGTCTGTGTAAACTCATCAGAATCGCTAGACTCCCAAACAGTTGATTGCTCAACTGGCGCTGGTGTAAAGTCACTGTCCGAATCACTTTTCTAAATTTTCATTATCATTGTCAGAACTAAAAACATCCGACTGAGACAGTTTTTAAGTCTTGGCCCCAGAAAGACGCAATTGGCGGCCTGTAGTAGTGGTTGGAACTTTGGTATCCATGTCACTCGAAAACGAACTTAGAAAATGCACTGATGAAAATAGCGCTAGCTAGGGATCAGATCAGTCTGCACCCACATGTCTTGGAACACATAAATTTACTCAAGGTAAAAGTTAGTGTAAACTTCACTGAATACTTTAATGGTAGTTCTAATCATTAGAAACAAATACGGAGCCGTGTGCGAAGCAATATATATGGGTCACCTGATCGACGCTGACTGTGTTGTTTGGGAAAATCGGAACTTCTCAATCAACACTCATAGCATTGCACCCGCCCTTAAGAATTAATATTGTTGTTGGTCCAGTAATAGTTTGTCATTGACTGAAGATATAATTATTTTTGTTGTTGGTCCGGTGATAGTTTGTTATTGACTGAGGATATTAACTATTGTTGTTGGTCCAGTTAGTTTGTTTTTGACTGAGGATATCATTAATATTGTTGTTGGTCCAGTTAGTTTGTTTTTGACTGAGGATATCAGTAACATTGTTGTTGGTCCAGTTAGTTTTTGACTAAGGATATCATTAACATTGTTGTTGGTCCAGTTAGTTTGTTTTTGACTGAGGATATCAGTAACATTGTTGTTGGTCCAGTTAGTTTGTTTTTGACTAAGGATATCATTAACATTGTTGTTGGTCCAGTTAGTTTGTTTTTGACTGAGGATATCATTAACATTGTTGTTGGTCCAGTTAGTTTGTTTTTGACTGAGGAAATCGCTAACATTGTTGTTGGTCCAGTTAGTTTGTTTTTGACTGAGGATATCATTAACATTGTTGTTGGTCCAGTTAGTTTGTTTTTAACTGAGGATATCAGTAACATTGTTGTTGGTCCAGTTAGTTTGTTATTGCCTGAGGATATCATTAATTTTGTTGTTGGTCCAGTTAGTTTGTTATTGCCTGAGGATATCATTAACATTGTTGTTGGTCCAGTTAGTTTGTTATTGCCTGAGGATATCATTAACATTGTTGTTGGTCCAGTTAGTTTGTTATTGCCTGAGGATATCATTAACTTTATTGTTGGTCCAGTTAGTTTGTTATTGCCTGAGGATATCATTAACCTTTTATTGGAGGGCCCAGTGATGTGTGGGAAGCTCAACATATGGATGTGAGACTAAGCAATCAAATGCAGGAGGTGACAGTGAGCCCAGGATCAAAACTTTATGTGACAGCTCTGCATTTGTGACCTGCTTGGATAGTGGGGAATGCCAGTGATCTACCCCAGCTTTTTCTTGAGGGCTCACTGGTCTATGCATGGTTGCTCTGGACAGGTTCTCCAGGGGCAACATCTGTACATAGGGGGACAGACAGAAGACCACACAGATAAGGCTATGTCATGTCCCACGAAACTATGCGGGAAGTTAACCCAGTCAACAAATGTTCAATGAAGTTAAATATTTTGGCTAAAAGGCACAAATATCGCAGCTTAGCTGTAAACAGACACAATGCAATTACCTCACTTAGAAGAGCAAAAAGAAGAAGAAGATTAACATTATTATAATCACTATTGTATCTTCATCAACATTGTTATTGTTATCATGAATAATATTATCATTTTGATTACCACTGTCCTCATTATTATTACATTAGCGTTGAAAAAAAATTATATACTGTTATTTTCAAAATTTGTGTCATCAGTATTTTCATTACCGTCACCATTGCTATTATCATTATCATCATCAAGTGCCTTGCCGACTGGCGTGGGCGATCATGCCTCTCCACAGTCTGTGATCTGCAACTGTGTGTATCTGTTTGTGTGTTGACAATCTTCCATGCCACTACAGAAGGCTGTCAAGAATCTTCTCATGCTGTCTTCATCTGTCTAAATTTTCACAAATCTTTCCAGTGGTCACAACACGTTCCAGTTTCCCTCTTCTCATAACATGACCAAAATATGATGACTTTCTCTTTCTGATGTTTGTGATAAGTTGTCTTTGAGCCCTCACCTCTTACAAAACATTTGGGTTGCTCTTTTATGGCTTTCCGTGGAATTCAAAGGATTCTTCTGTAAAATATCTGAGGCCTGAAGAAATTGTTCGGCCTATTTATTAATCATCCGGGATTCGCAACCATACATTAAATCTGGCTCTATGTAGCATGCAAAAAATGTTCTTCATTTTATAACAGGCAGTTTTGGCTTATCCTTTTCTGTTCTTGATCTTTGGATATTTTTTGATATTTTCCATCGGATAATGTCCATGTGCCTAGATACTTAAATTTCTGTTCTTGTCCTAAAATAATGCCTGTGACATATAGGCACTTTTTTTTTCTTTTTTTTTCTTTTTAAATTACCATTATTTCTGTCTACCCATTATTCAAATTGAAGCCCATTTTATCACTTTCTACAAAGACCGCATCTATCAGTTCCTCTAGTTCCTTCTGACTTGTCACTATCAAGACGGTGTCAACAGCATAACATAAGTTGTTTCTGATATGACCACCAGCCACAATTCCTGGCATATCCATGAAAGATCTCATTATATATTCATTGTATAATGAAAACAAATCAGGTGGTAGTACACATCCTTGCCATACTCCCCTCTTTATGCTCTGAAATGTTTCCAGATGGTTATTAATTCTTATAGCTGCGGTTTGCTGCCAATACATATTGTTTATAATTGGTGAATCTTTTCCACCAGTGTTTAACTTTTACAGAAGTTTGATTATTTCCTCATATTTTGCACAGTCAAGTGCTTTTGTCAGTGAGGCATAAGTAAATATGTTTTTTTTTTAAAATTCTTTTAAAACTGAAACTCTTTTCGCCAGAGTCATTAGTATGTACATGGTGTTGTTTGTACCTTTTTCTTTCCTTCGACATATCCACACTTCTTCACTAATTTTTAGTTTAATCTTGTTTCTTATTCTTCTCAGAATTATTCTCAATAATATTTATGATTTCTTACCCATTAGGTTACATTCCCCAGTCAGGATGGGCTATCGATCCCTTTGGCTATTCGTCCACCATGGCGTACTTACTGAAGCGATCAGACTTCAAGAGCATGCTCATACAGAGGGTCCACTATTCTTTCAAGAAGTTCCTGGCTCAGAATGCTGACCTGGAGTTTATGTGGAGGCAGCACTGGGGTACGTTGTGGTTTAGTTTGTGTTTCCATGAGCACAAAACCGGGTTGTATGAATCGTTACTTCTCTTTCTTACAACAGATGCTGAAGCCAGCAACAATATTTTCACACATTTGATGCGCTTCTACTCGTATGATGAATTGTTACTTCTCCTCTTTACAACAGATGCTGATGCCCGCAATGACATTTTCACACATTTGATGCACTTCTACTCGTACGATGAATTGTTACTTCTCCTCTTTACAACAGATTCTCGAAGCCAGCAACAATATTTTCAAACATTTGATGCGCTTCTACTTGTACGATGAATCATTACTTCTCTTTCTTACAACAGACGCAGAAGCCAGCATAGACATTTTCACATAATTAATGCCCTTCTGCGCCTATGATGTATCGTTACTTCTCTTTCTTACAACAGATGCCGAAGCCAGCACAGACATTTTCACACATTTGATGCCCTTCTACTCCTACGACGTCCCTCATACCTGTGGACCTGAACCAGCTGTTTGTTGCCAGTTTGACTTTAGACGACTCCCAGGGTCTCCCAACAGGTGTCCCTGGCATATTGATGCAAAGGCTGTAACAGACGAAAATGTGGAAGAAAGGTCAGTTAATTATATTTTTTTTGTTGGTATAAGAAATGAGGAGCTGTAAAAAAAGCATTAACAATATGGTTAAAATTACAATAACCTTGCCATTATTGTCTTGTAACCTGTCAGTATTTTTGTCATTCAGAGAAGTGAGATTACCGTTTGCTTGGTTTATTCTTGTTATAGTGGTAATATCAAGAAAAAAAATAGTGCCTAAATATATAATAAAAGTCCAAGACGTTATTTTAGGATTAGTACAGCAATTTAAGCATTGAGACACATTGATAACATCCAGTTGAAGATGTATCACATAGTGAAAAAACATGGAAAGGTATGGAAGAGGGTCACTACATTGTATTTACTTTTTTCTCCATTATCGTCATTGTTATTGATTTGTCTCATTTACCGGCATTGTCATTGTTTTGTCCCATTTACTATCATTGTCAGTGTTTTATACCATTTACTATCATTGTTGATGTTTTGGAACAACTCATGAGGTCAGGCCCAGAAGGAGATTGACTTTCCTTGCCATTCATCTCTGGTCGTGGCGTAGGGCCTGTCCTGTGTTGCAGGGGTGTCACATTTAGTGACAGGGATGAACGGCAAGGGAAGTCACTCTCGGCCCCAGTTCGTGAGTTGTCCTTGTGTTTTGTACCATATTCAATTTTCACTCAGTTACAAGTTATTATCAATTTAAAAAAAAAATAATCTTAATTAATCTCTATTTGAGTTGAGCTGAGTTGATTCAAGAATTTACATCACAGCACTCGAGGCATTCCCATGTATGCTCTGTCCTCATCTTCTGCAGCCAGCGCAGAGTTCCAATACTGATGGTACCGGTCACAATCTGGTTAAAAGTCCGTCTTGCCTTTCCTCTGAGTTTAGTGAGCCGACCAGACCCTCTGGTTACACCCATGGGCCTCATTCTCTGCAGGCCATAATAATCTTGTTTCTCTACCGATTCTGTTGCTTGTTCCCAAAAGGGCCTTGACAACCTCTGCCTTGTCATGTATCAAATCTTCACCCAATGGTGCGGACCCAGCCAATTTATCTGCCTGTTCATTACCCACAATGCCGGCATGGCCTGGAGAAAAGATCCGGTGTATGCTCACCACCTGTGACCTTTCCAGTGAAGCTAGCCACGCTGCTCGAAGCATCCCTGTCTTCACCTTTCCCAGCATGCTTTCAGAGCCTGTTACAATTACGACATGTGTATGCATCTTCTTCTCTAGCCACCAGAGAGCTGCAGTTACCGCCTCCACCTCCATTCTTATGCTAGATGTTGTGTCATATGCTAGGAAGATTTTCCATTGGCTTTTGCTACGAACCCCCATGCACTTATCTATCCTCTCAACACTGAACCATCTGTATAGATAATCAGAACACCCGGGCCTGAATTGTCGTGAATCAACTGTTGGACTTCAACCTCCGTAGCACCCGCTGGCCACTTTCTGCCTACCCAGCCTAATGTTATCATAACCCTACACAGGTCAGACTTTCCCGCTGGTACTCTGACCCACTCCTTTCCTTGCCCAGTGTCCTGCTTGAGCCATCCACGATTTTCCCCTTTTCAGCCTCTGACCCTTGCCTGCAGCCAAGGCTTCAAACAGAGGGTGTTCCTTGTCTTCAGCTACTCTGAGGTATGACTTAGCCTGCAGCACCTTTAGCCTATCTGCAAAAGTCTGCAACGCAACGGTGTATCACACGCACACAATCGGGGTGTCTCTTGTACAACCCAGGATCAGCCACATAACTTCATTCTGTATGCGCTCCAGTTTCTCTAGCTGACTCTTCGAGACAGTGAGTAACCCCAGTCCATAGTCAATCACTAAGGTGCTGGTACAATGTGAACAGCATTCTCTGCTCCATATCCATCGCTACTATAATCTTTAGTGCGTTTAGACCTTTTTGAGCCCTTGTCACAACCCCCTCTATGTGATCCCTGAAAGACAAACTTCTGTCAAATGTGATTCCCAGGTACTACAGTCTGCTGTCTCTTTTGATGTCCTTGCCATTTTTTTTTAAGTCTGAGAACATCAGCTCTAACAATCCTATTGTCCAAAGAACACCACAGGATGATTGCCTTTTCTGGGTTGATTACAGCACTCATCTCTGTACACTTGTCAATCACCTTGTCTTCTGTTGCCTGTAACTCATCAGCTATTTTATTCCGATCTCTCCCCTTCCTATATACAAGAACATCATTTGCAAATGTCAATATTCTGCCAATTCCAGGTGTTTCCAGGCAGGCAATCTTACTCGTAAAAACATTGAATAGTACAAGTGAAATTGCAAATCCCTGTGGCAGTCCTGGAGCTATAATACATGGTTCAGAGGTCCATGAAGCCAGGCGGAGAGCTATTCGGCGAGTATACAAAACGGCTGCTATCCAATTCACTAACCAAGGACAGATTCCCTTCTCCATTAGCGCTTTCATCAAGATACTGTATCTGACTCTCTTGTAAGCGTCTTCTAAATCAAGTGCCGCTGTCACTGTTTCCTGTCTGTTCGGGAGACCTTCGAAGGTATCAAAGGAAAAAAAGTGGCTGCATTTGACCATGTGTCTGTCCTTCCCCGGCCGGAAACTCCCTAATCCTCGTGGAAGGAGATTACTCTGCTCCAAAAATTCTTGTAGCTAACCCGCCACTATCTTCTCCAGCACTTTACCAAAGGTAATCTCGATTTATTTACCATCATTGTCAATGTATTTTACCGTATTCAATCTCCCCTCATTAAACATTTTGGTTAATTTTTTTTTACTTCATTTACCATCATTTTTAGTGCTTTGTCTTATTAACCTCTGATGATCAATCTCTCGTCATTTACCATAATTGTCATTAGTTATTGTGATTCTTAAATGTTCCCTCATCACTTTTGTGTTTCCCTCTTGAATAGGTCAATGACCATACTGGACCAGTGGAAAAAGAAGGCCACATTATACAAGACAAATGTCGTTCTTGTTCCTTTGGGAGATGATTTCCGCTACATGCAGCCGGATGAGTTTGATCTTCAATTTGGAAATTACGAAAAGATATTTCGTTATCTTGATACACACCCTGAATTAGGTGCTCAGGTGAGAATCAGTGTTTTTTTTCCTGTTCATGTGAAAAAAGTAAGGATCAGTTGTTTTTCCTGTTCATGTTAAAAAGTGAACTTTCAGTGTACATATCACTGCCAGGAGATCCCAGCTCTTGAAGTAATGAATAATTTATCTTCATTATTTTCATCAACATCATTGCCATCAACATCATTGCTATCCTCACCACATCATCAACATCACTGCCATCATCACCACATCATCAACATCATTGCCATTATCACAACATCATCAATATCATTGCCATCGTCACCACATCATCTACACCATTGCCATCATTACCACATCATCAACATCATTGCCATCATCAACATCATTGCCATCATCACCACATCATCAACATCATTGCCATCATCACCACATCACTAACATCATTGCTATCATCACCACATCATCAACATCATTGTTATCATCACCACATCATCAACATCATTGCCATCATTACCACATCACCAACATCATTGCCATCGTCACCACATCATCAACATCATTGCCATCCTCACCACATCATCAGCATTATTGCCATCATCACCACATCATTAACATCATTGCCATCATCACCACATCATCTACACCATTGCCATCATTACCACATCATCAACATCATTGCCATCATTACCTCATCATCAACATCATTGCTTTAATTGCCACATCATTAACATCATTGCCATCATCACCACATCATCAAAATCATTGCCATCATCACCACATCATCCACATCATTGCCATCATCTCTATATCATCTACATCAATGCCATTATCACCACATCATCAACATCATTGCTATCCTCACGGCATCTTTAACATCATTGCCATCATCACCACATCCTCAACGCCATCATCACTGCATCATCAACATCATTGCCATTATCACAACATCATCAACATCATTGCCATCATCACCACATCATCAACATCTTTGCCATCATCACCGAATCATCTACACCACCACCGTTATCTTCATCTCCCTTTTAAACATTGCCATCATCTTTACTACCATCTCCATCATGATTATGGTGATTGGCTAGTTTGTGTTTCGATTTGTTATTGCCTTACACAGTAATTTTGCTTGTGTGTGGCCAGTTTGTCACGACTAATAACTTCCATCAGTAAAAAGCTGCAGTTATAGAGACAGTCTGTTTGTGTTGGCACCTTAAAGCGGCTGCCTCATGCATTTACTAGACATGCATATTTCATGATTCTCCCTGGACTCTTTGTTTGTTCACCAGTTTTCAAATTGGACAATGAAGAACATAAGTGATTTTTAACTGGCAAGAAAGCAGAACAGTTGTGGAGTAACTCATTTCTCTTGAATTTTGAGACCTCGGCTACTGACTATCAACTACCTAAGTGTTCTTTACTTTGACTATTTTTTTCCCTGTTGCAGGCCCAATTTGGTACTCTAAGCGATTACTTCAATACTCTGTATAAAGAAACGGCTACAATTCCTGGCCAGCGACCGCCCAGTATACCAAGCCTTAGTGGTGACTTCTTTTCCTATGCAGACCGTGATGACCACTACTGGACAGGGTACTTTACGTCACGACCACTAAGTAAAAATCTGGACCGCAGCTTGGAGCATAATCTCAGGTTACTTATTTTTGTTTCTAGTCTTGTTTGCCCGTAGTTTGTGAGTGACCTTTGGCATATTGCAAGATGTTATGGATAGCAGATATATCAACATCTGGACATCAGAACACTGAAGTATCAAACATTATGTGTAAAGCAAAAATAGCAAAACATTGCATCAAAATTTTGATACAAAAATTGATATTAGAACATTATAAATATCAGAACATTATGCAGCTTTAAAATACGGATAGTAAAACGTTATGTGATCAAATATGGATATTAAAACAGTTATTATTATGTTTATCAGAATGTTATTATTTAAACATTTATATCAAACATTGATATCCAAACAATGGTATTATGTACATTAAAACATTATGTATAGCAGAACAGCATTACAAGTTTATGGCATCCATCAGAACATTATATGTAGCAGAACAGCATTACAAGTTTATGGCATACATCAGAACATTATATGTAGCAGAACAGCATTACAAGTTTATGGCATACATCAGAACATTATCTGTAGCAGAACAGCATTAAAAGTTTATGGCATACATCAGAACATTATATGTAGCAGAACAGCATTAACAGTTTATGGCATACATCAGAACATTATATGTAGCAGAACAGCATTAAAAGTTTATGGCATACATCAGAACATTATATGTAGCAGAACAGCATTACAAGTTTATGGCATACATCAGAACATTATATGTAGCAGAACAGCATTAAAAGTTTATGGCATACATCAGAACATTATATGTAGCAGAACAGCATTACTAGTTTATGGCATACATCAGAACATTATATGTAGCAGAACAGCATTAAAAGTTTATGGCATACATCAGAACATTATATGTAGCAGAACAGCATTACAAGTTTATGGCATACATCAGAACATTATATGTAGCAGAACAGCATTACATGTTTATGGCATACATCAGAACATTATATCTAGCAGAACAGCATTAACAGTTCCTGGCATACATCAGAACATTATATCTAGCAGAACAGCATTACAAGTTTATGGCATACATCAGAACATTATATGTAGCAGAACAGCATTAAAAGTTTATGGCATACATCAGAACATTATATGTAGCAGAACAGCATTAAAAGTTTATGGCATACATCAGAACATTATATGTAGCAGAACAGCATTAAAAGTTTATGGCATACATCAGAACATTATATGTAGCAGAACAGCATTACAAGTTTATGGCATACATCAGAACATTATATGTAGCAGAACAACATTACAAGTTTATGGCATACATCAGAACATTATATCTAGCAGAACAGCATTAACAGTTTATGGCATACATCAGAACATTATATCTAGCAGAACAGCATTACAAGTTTATGGCATACATCAGAACATTATATGTAGCAGAACAGCATTAAAAGTTTATGGCATACATCAGAACATTATATGTAGCAGAACAGCATTAAAAGTTTATGGCATACATCAGAACATTATATGTAGCAGAACAGCATTACAAGTTTATGGCATACATCAGAACATTATATGTAGCAGAACAGCATTAACAGTTTATGACATACATCAGAACATTATATGTAGCAGAACAGCATTACAAGTTTATGGCATACATCAGAACATTATATGTAGCAGAACAGCATTAAAAGTTTATGGCATACATCAGAACATTATATGTAGCAGAACAGCATTACAAGTTTATGGCATACATCAGAACATTATATGTAGCAGAACAGCATTAAAAGTTTATGGCATACATCAGAACATTATATGTAGCAGAACAGCATTACAAGTTTATGGCATACATCAGAACATTATATGTAGCAGAACAGCATTACAAGTTTATGGCATACATCAGAACATTATATCTAGCAGAACAGCATTAACAGTTTATGGCATACATCAGAACATTATATGTAGCAGAACAGCATTACAAGTTTATGGCATACATCAGAACATTATATGTAGCAGAACAGCATTAAAAGTTTATGGCATACATCAGAACATTATATGTAGCAGAACAGCATTAAAAGTTTATGGCATACATCAGAACATTATATGTAGCAGAACAGCATTAAAAGTTTATGGCATACATCAGAACATTATATGTAGCAGAACAGCATTACAAGTTTATGGCATACATCAGAACATTATATGTAGCAGAACAACATTACAAGTTTATGGCATACATCAGAACATTATATCTAGCAGAACAGCATTAACAGTTTATGGCATACATCAGAACATTATATCTAGCAGAACAGCATTACAAGTTTATGGCATCCAACAGAACATTATATGTAGCAGAACAGCATTACAAGTTTATGGCATACATCAGAACATTATATGTAGCAGAACAGCATTACAAGTTTATGGCATACATCAGAACATTATCTGTAGCAGAACAGCATTAAAAGTTTATGGCATACATCAGAACATTATATGTAGCAGAACAGCATTAAAAGTTTATGGCATACATCAGAACATTATATGTAGCAGAACAGCATTACAAGTTTATGGCATACATCAGAACATTATATGTAGCAGAACAGCATTACAAGTTTATGGCATACATCAGAACATTATATCTAGCAGAACAGCATTACAAGTTTATGGCATACATCAGAACATTATATGTAGCAGAACAGCATTAACAGTTTATGACATACATCAGAACATTATATGTAGCAGAACAGCATTAAAAGTTTATGGCATACATCAGAACATTATATGTAGCAGAACAGCATTAAAAGTTTATGGCATACATCAGAACATTATATGTAGCAGAACAGCATTACAAGTTTATGGCATACATCAGAACATTATATGTAGCAGAACAGCATTACAAGTTTATGGCATACATCAGAACATTATATGTAGCAGAACAGCATTACAAGTTTATGGCATACATCAGAACATTATGTGTAGCAGAACAGCATTACAAGTTTATGGCATACATCAGAACATTATGTGTAGCAGAACAGCATTACAAGTTTATGGCATACATCAGAACATTATATGTAGCAGAACAGCATTACAAGTTTATGGCATACATCAGAACATTATATGTAGCAGAACAGCATTAGAAGTTTATGGCATACATCAGAACATTATGTGTAGCAGAACAGCATTACAAGTTTATGGCATACATCAGAACATTATATGTAGCAGAACAGCATTACAAGTTTATGGCATACATCAGAACATTATATGTAGCAGAACAGCATTACAAGTTTATGGCATACATCAGAACATTATATGTAGCAGAACAGCATTACAAGTTTATGGCATCTACAAATCAAAGTTTTGAGAGCATTTATCTTCCCTGCAGCAACATACGGATGTGAGTCATGGGCTATCTTGCAGTCAAAAAAAAAAACTAGGGGCTTTTGAGCTGAAAAGCTATAGAGAGATTCTCAGAATACCATGGACAAAGCAGAAGAGAAATATTGACATTCTGAAAGATCTGAACATCAAGGAAGATTGGCTAATAAACAGCATCTTCTCTCTTCTTCTTCAGCATTCCTAGCCCTTGAGGTTCATTGCTGCAGATATCACCCGCCTCCACTCATCTCTGTAGTTGGCCTTTCTCTTTCCAGTTGGTGACACCAAGTGTTTGCAGGTCTGTCTGGACATTATCTCTCCATTGTCTTCTTGGTTTGCCTCGTGGTCTACGACCATTCATCTCCCTCGTGTATACAGTTTTTATCTGTCCGTCATCTGACATTCTCCTCAGTATACGTCACCCATTTCAGTCTATTAACTTGCATAATGCTAGTGATCAATGGTGATTTAAACAGATTATGAATTTCAATATTGCTTCTCAGTCTCCGTTCCCCACTGTTTTCATCTTTTATGAATTCAAAGATTTGTTGTAAGACTCTGTTTCTCTGAAATATATTGGCCATTTCAAGCACCATGACGGATTGGAAAATAAACAGCAGAAGGCATGGTGCCAGGAAAGGGGGCAGGGCCGACAAGCATGAAAATAAATAGACAAATGATGTAAGTAGGTAGGAAAGTGCATGAGGCAGGTGAGCTGGTGAAAGACCAAGGTTCTTTCAGGCAGACCGTGATGAGAGCGACTTTCTGCAAAGGAACTGCCACATGATGATGATGATGCACATCAGATCATTGTGTGTATCAGAACATTATGTATATCGATATATTATTTATTTTAAAACAAATAAAAAGTCTGAAAATGATCCAACTTTTAGAACTCTGGTTGAGCAGTTTGTCCATTTTACCATGGAGACGTGCTAGGTGTAACAAAGAAATATCGACTTAGAAACGATGATATCAGGAGGAGAGAATCTGTGCTGAACTTTTTCGGTAGACAACAGAACAAATGGTTTGGACATACATTGGCAACAGTCAGAGCACCACAGAGAGCAGTGTTGGACAGATACAGCAGTAACAGAGCAAGAGGTCGACTGCAGAAGTATCGGAGACACTGAAATGTACTATATATATATGAAGTGAACAGAAGGGCTCGTTGCAGTGATCTCTTTCTACCCTGAGGCTGCGAAGCATTCCAGGAGTTGAGAAAAGAAGAAGAAGAAGAAGACACAGCATTGTTTATCTTTACTGCAGGCCCTTGATGGATTGTTTCCTGGGAACGCTATTGACACCTTGCATATATTGCTAGATCTATATTTTCATCCAGTGCTGGTTTGTCCTGGAAACTAAGGTCAGCTTTGAAATCAAAGTTAAAATTGTTTATGATGTGGATTTATACCCTAGACCTTTGGGTCAGCAGCTGTTGTGCTGCCACAGCACCCCCTTGATGGACTGATTGACTCTTTCAGTCCATCAAGGGGGAGCTGTGGCACTTACTGGTTAACTCTTTCAGTCCCTAGGATGCATCATATGTTCTTAGGTTCCTAACTAGAAGTGCAGTGACCGCAAGATGTGCTGCTTTCGGTCCCAAAGACGTATCATATGTCCATAGATTCCTACCTAGAAGCACAATGAATGCAGGATGTAGTGATTTAACCTCTCTTTATTATCCTTGGGCCTCTGATGTGGAACACCCTTGAATTCAAAGAGTTATATTAAAACAGAAGTGCATTACCCCCCCCCCCTTTTTTTTCCATTTTCAAAAAAAAAAAGATGGGGGGGGGGGGGAACAGACCCACTACCACTTTACAGAAGATTATAAAAACACAAAATATGTACCATCTTTACAGACCTAGTTACAATAGACAAAATAAAACCTGTAATTGAACCTCTAAAGCTTTCCCATGTGGGTTCCGGGCTCACATTATAAGAAAGACAAGAATAGACTCTTAACATCTATGTCATTAGAGGTTTCCGTTGAAGTCAGAGTGCATCTGCCTAAGAGGCAAGGAACATACAGTCTGCATACCAATAGTTGTAAAATGGATGTGCACCCGTCACTCAAGTTCTGGAACAAGACCAAAGTCTAGAAGTGGACGAACAACTAGAACTTTCCACTAGAGTATACAGCTGAAAAACACGTAGAAGAAAAAGAAAAAGAAGGCCTTTAAAGCTGATTTATACTCATTTCATTATCGGTCATAAAAAAAAGCTCATTGTAGGTTTGATGAAAGCAGATATTGCAACCTAACTATAAAGAGCAGCATAATGTTTGATCTTTTCTTTGAAGGATGAAAACAGAAGAAGAAGAAACTCAAATTGATATAATCTTTTGCTTGACATTCCATATGGCAGGACTATTCAACCAAGTTTACTCAGGGGCCAAAATGATGAAAATATTGATCGTCACAGGTCAGAGGTCCGAGCCCCAAGTATAGCAAGGTCATTAATACAATACAATTGGCAGGTGATCAGTGAGCCATTTGCTAGGCCTCTATGGGCCAGATTTGGTCCACAGGCCACTAGTTAAATGGCCCTGCCTTATGGGATAATGAAAAGCCTTTTGTATTTAGTGTTTATTTTTGAGATCATCTGAATCAGACATGACCACAAGTTCTCCGATCTCCTCCTGAGTCCGTCTCCAAGTGTTTTTATGCTAACAACTCCCATTCTGTTCTGGTTGATGTAACTATGGGCAGCTCCTGCATGGATTTCTATCTCGCCGCTCCCGTTGGTACACCCAGCTTAAGCAGTCTATTCAGTGAAAAATTTATTTGCCTCAAAACTGAAAGGCTCACACCGTTTAGTCTCTTGTATGGCATTGATGATGTCTCTCCTGTCCATAGAGGATCCATTCCTGATAGTCGCACTGCCAGTCAGAGCATCTGCTCTCTCATTGCCTTTCACACCAGCATGCCCTGGGACAGAAATGAAGCTGCATGCATTTTGTATGGTTTTTGCTAATACAGAAAGGGATCAATCTTGGGTTGACATGTTTTTTCTGTGAGCTGGAATTGCAACTAATCTTCTTCTTCTTTACGTCCTCTTATACCGCTTCAGGTGTCGAGTGAGGTATAAGGTCCTGCTTTGTGCTTTTCTGGCTGCTTCGACCAAAGACACATCATGGTACTATAGAGTTTCTCTGATGTTATCCTTCCATCTTGTTCTTGGTCTGCTTCTTACTCTAGGTCCCTCTCCTCTTTTGGTATATACCTTGTGTGGTATAGCATCAAAAGGCATTCTCTCCAAGTGGGCAAACAATTTGCTCTGCTGTCATTCTGTGTAATTTAGAACTGGTTTTGTGCCGACTTTATCTTGTATGACCTCATTCCTGATTTTATCTTTTCTGGTCACTCCTACAGTCTTTCTCAGACACCTCATTTCCATGGTTACTAATTTTCTTTTGTTTTGTTGTGAGTGACCATGTCTGACACTGATAGCAGAGGGTGGGAATGAATATGCTTTGTATGAGATGTCTCTTTGTGCTGATTGGGATTGCCTTGTGCTGTAAAGGGGGAGGGGGGAGCTAGCTGTCCCAATACTTGGCCAGCTTTGCGGCATCGAATATTAATTTCTTAGTCTAATTTAACATCTTCAGTGAATGTTGTTCCAAGATATTGAAATATTTTTTTTTTTCAACTAATCACTAACTAATTTGATGTTAACCTTTGATCTTTGTTGACAGGTCAGCTGAAATAAGTTTCAGCCTGGCATACTCAGAGGCTAGAAAACACTCAGCAGCAAACTTCCCGTCCAAATTTTTTATGGAGAAACTAGTGGAAGCTCGACGAACGATGGGCCTTTTCCAGCACCATGATGCCATCGCTGGCACTGCAAAAGACTTTGTTATGAATGATTATGGAAATAGGTTTGGCCTCTTTTTTATGCTCATTGCCCTCTTCCTTGTCTTCCTTGTCTTCCTTGCCTTCCTTGTCTTCCTTGCCTTCCTTGTCTTCCTTGTCTTCCTTGCCTTCCTTGTCTTCCTTGCCTTCCTTGCCTTCCTCGCCTTCCTTGTCTTCCTTGCCTTCCTTGTCTTCCTTGCCTTCCTTGTCTTCCTTGTCTTCCTTGCCTTCCTTGTCTTCCTTGCCTTCCTTGTCTTCCTTGCCTTCCTTGTCTTCCTTGCCTTCCTTGTCTTCCTTGTCTTCCTTGCCTTCCTTGTCTTCCTTGTCTTCCTTGCCTTCCTTGTCTTCCTTGCCTTCCTTGTCTTCCTTGCCTTCCTTGTCTTCCTTGCCTTCCTTGCCTTCCTTGTCTTCCTTGCCTTCCTTGTCTTCCTTGCCTTCCTTGCCTTCCTCGCCTTCCTTGTCTTCCTTGCCTTCCTTGTCTTCCTTGCCTTCCTTGTCTTCCTTGTCTTCCTTGCCTTCCTTGTCTTCCTTGCCTTCCTTGCCTTCCTTGCCTTCCTTGCCTTCCTTGCCTTCCTTGCCTTCCTTGTCTTCCTTGTCTTCCTTGTCTTCCTCCTCTTCTTAGTGTTCACCTACTGTAACTCTGGCAGAAAGTTCTGGTTGCTTATCGATTTTTGGTTTTGTTCCAGAACTTGAGTTTTGCATGCATATCCATTTTGCAGATTTGGCTTATTTGTTTGCAGACTGTTGGTTTCTTGCCTCTCAGGCAGAAACTGCAACTTAAAAGGAAACACCCCTAATTAGTCAACTTTTACAACCCACTTGGGGGGGGGAGGAGGGGTGGGATTAACCACATGGAAAGTCCTTCTTTCCATCGTCACCTCAATCTTCCTCTGTTTTTTTTCTCTTTTCTGCTCGTTTTCTCTCTCTCTCTCTCCCTCACTTTTTTTTTTTTTAATTTATGTTTTAAATTGTTGTTGTTGCTTTTTCTTCTCTTCCTCATATTTGCAGACATCTAGGGACAGTTCCTGTTTACACACGTCTAAGAACGGTTCACATCAACATACAGTTCGTATTTACAATCATCCAGAGACAGTTCAGACATTTACACACATCTAGAGACTGTTCATATTTACACATATTTAGATACTGTTTGTATTTACAAGTATCTAGAGAAAGTTCAGATTTACAGACATGTAGGGGCCATTCACATTTACACACATCTAGAGACAGTTCACACTTTACACTCATTTAGAGGCAGTTCACATTTACACTCATTTAGAGGCAGTTCATATTTACACTCATTTAGAGGCAGTTCATATTTACACACATTTAGAGACTGTTCGTATTTACAACCATCTAGAGACAGTTTAGATTTACAAACATGTAGGGACCAGTCATATTTACACACATTTAGAGACACTTCACATTTACACATATTTATATACTGTTTGTATTTGCAAATATCTAGAGCCATTTCAGATTTACAGACATATAGGGACCATTCATATTTACACACATTTAGGGACAGTTCATATTTACACACATTTAGGGACAGTTTACATTTACATACATTTAGATATTGTTTGTTTTTGCAAATATCTAGAGACATTTCAGATTTACAGACATGTAGGGACCATTCACATTTAAACACATCAAGAGACAAATCACATTTACACACAGTTCTATTTACACACATTTAGTGACACTTCACATTTACACACATTTTTGACACTTCACATTTACACACATTTAGGGACCATTCACATTTACACTTATCTAGAGACAAATCACATTTACACACATTTATGGACAGTTCACATTCACACACATCTAAGGACCATTCAAATTTACAGAGTATTCCTCATGTGGGTTCCAGGCCCCAAATGGGACAGTTCCCATTTACAGACATTTGGGACTGTTCCCATTTACAGACATTTGGGACTGTTCCCATTTACAGACATTTGGGACAGTTCCCATTTACAGACATTTGGGACTGTTCCCATTTACAGACATTTGGGACTGTTCCCATTTACAGACATTTAGGACAGTTCCCATTTACAGACATTTGGGACAGTTCCCATTTACAGACATTTGGGACTGTTCCCATTTACAGACATTTGGGACAGTTCCCATTTACAGACATTTGGGACTGTTCCCATTTACAGACATTTGGGACAGTTCCCATTTACAGACATTTGGACATTTACAGACATTTTGGGACAGTTCCCATTTACTGTTCCCATTTACAGACATTTGGGACAGTTCCCATTTACAGACATTTGGGACTGTTCCCATTTACAGACATTTGGGACAGTTCCCATTTGCAGACTGCTGAGATATAATCCTGATGTAAAAAAAAAATAAATTCTTTCTTGTGCACAGACTGTTGAAGGCATTACATGATGCTAAGACCATTGTCGTGGAATGTTCGGTATTTTTGCTTGCCGAGAAAAAAGATGAATACAGCTGGACCCCAGACTCTCCAATCTTCAACATGGTAAGTCCTTGTGTTGGCCGCCCTTTGCTTCTGAAACATGTGATGTAATGTAATCGGGGGTGGGGGGGGGGGGGGTAGAGAGAAAAGGTGCTAGAACTCACGAACTCACTCATCACAGTGTTTCTAAAAAAAAAAAAAGGTGACGGTACTCACCACAAATTTACAGTAATATTGAGACAAATTATAACTGTCACTACTGTCTGTTTTACCACTTTTAGGGTGGTGTAGACAGGTGGTTGTGAGCTGTAACCATGGACTGTGCAGGGTTAGGATGTATAATTTTGCCCCCAACAGAAATACGTCATCGCCTTACGGGGGGTCGAACCCGGGTCTCCAGCACAAGAGCCCAACACTGTAACCTCTTGGCTAGCTGGTCCTCTTGAAACAAATTGCAAAAAAAAAAAGAAGAAGGTGCTGACACTGTGTAATGCTGCAGTTTTAAAAAAAAGGCCTTGGATGTTATCACAGTCGAGAACACTATTCATTGGGCATCGCATGCCTGCTCAGTCCTCCAAAGCAGCAGCCACTCCAAGTTAATGTACTGATTTATTCCCATTGAGGATTTGGTTAAAATTTTTTCTGTATTGGCCTCAACGGCTGTGTAATGTTTCACCATGCCTTACTCCCAGGTCATGCAGTAGTGTTAATGTCAGAGAATGTTAAACCCAGATTATTCAGTGTCTGAATCAGTTAATCCCTGGTTCAGCTTCACAGCAAATGTTAAATGCGTAAGGCAGCCATTAGAAGTAGTTCACCACGAGGTTTGCAGTTCACCGTCGATGAAAGTGGTAAGTACAACAGATCAGCAGTTGCCTGTTTTGAAACTAGATGTTGTGGCATCATATGCCAGGCTTTGCTGCATTAAATGACGTCCATTGGCTTTTGCTATGAATCCCCCCCCCCCCCCCCCCCCCACACACACTTTGTCTGCCTCTCAACACATAGACATGTATATAGATCATCACATGGCTTGGCGGGAATTGCCATGAATCATTAATTCAGCTTCTTATTCTGCAGCACCTGCTGGCTGGTCCCTGCACTCACAGCCCAGTGTAATTAGAACCCTAGACAAGTCTTTCTTCATATAGTCTCTACTTAGTCTTAGTCTTAGATAAGGTTTCAACTTCACTGTAATCGGGTCACTTCATACTTGCTCCGTTCCTGTGCCAGTGCAAATCAAATGAAATGTCCCTCACTGATCCATTTGAAAACTAGTGAATAAACAATTAGTTCTGGCACAATCCAGAAATATGTGCTTGCAGTAAATGCACACAGCAGTTGCTAGTGGTGCCAAAGCCGACAGTTGCCACCAGAAATGCAGTTTGTCATTGATGGAAGTACTTGGTCAGGATAAATTGGCTGTACTCACATAAAATTATTACATAAGGTCATATGTTATTTCATCATCTCAAACGTAAATTGGCCACACGCTACCGGCCAAATTGAATACCATGATTAAACCACTGCACAAATGAAAGGCATTTCACATGGAAAAAAAAACCAGCTCACATTGCTGAACCAAGGACTTAACTCAGTTGCTTTGGCGGCGAAACCTTCATTTTCCTCCCTCCTATTGATGCCAAAATTAACTATTCATCATTTTTCATTGTCTTCACCTTTCTCACTTCTCTCTCCAACTTTTCTGTTATGGGTATAAGTGGTAACAATGGATCCATCTGATACATCATGCAGCAGTTTGCAAGATCTTCATTTTTGTCTTAGGGCATACTGGTATGAAAGGCAATGAGAGAGCAGACGCCCCGGCTGGCAGTGCGACTGTAAACAATGGGCTGTCTATGGACAGGAGGGACATTGTCAGTGCCATTAGAGAGAGCAAACACTGAGGTTTTCAATTTCGCGGGGGAGCTGCGTGGTCTTGAGGCATGGTGTCCGCTTTGAGTGCTAGAGGTTACAGGTTCAATCCCTGGTAAGGGCTGGGATCTTTCCACGTGGAGTTGGATTTCTAGTAATTCCCCCTGGTCTCTGGGTAGTGAGATCGGACGCTCGTGTACATTGTTGAACAGTGTCACATCACACTCTAGTTTGAAAAATTTTCTCTTGGGATTCAGGTGTGCTGGGAAATGAACAGGCAGAAATATTGGCTGGTGCTGCAGCACTAGGTAGTGATATGATGCCTGACACGCTACATTTGGTCAAGGCCATTTGGGAGCAAGTGAACACTGGGGAAGCTTGAATAGATTATAACGTTGTGAACAGAATAGTGAAGCAGGAGGTGACCTCTAAACTCAGAAGAAAGGCAAGTCATAAATGTAATGTTTCTGGTACCATCAATGTTGGAACTCTTTGCTGGTTGCTGAAGATGAGTTGGAGCACTTATGTGATTGTCAACTCCTGTTTTGATTTTTTTTTTTTCATGTTGTGCCTAAAGAATAAGTCTGATCTTCTTTGGATGTAACTTCTCTTTGTTTACTTAGTTAATAATTATTATGTGTTCTTTCTTTTCGCTAGGACGAAGTACGGTCTAGTCATGATAGTCTGCCAACAAGACCTCTCCTGGAGCTCACTGACATACCCAAGTAAGTACTCTTCATTGTTCACAGCTTTTAGATAGTAGGGACAGCTTGTAGATAGTAGAAATGTCTTATAGATATTATAGAGGCAGCTTGTAGATAACAGAGATGTCTTATAGATAATAGAGATGTCTTATAGATATAATAGAGGCAGCTTGTAGATAATAGATATGTCTTATAGATAATAGAGATGTCTTATAGATATAATAGAGGCAGCTTGTAGATAATAGAGATGTCTTATAGATATAATAGAGGCAGCTTGTAGATAATAGAGATATATATAATAGAGATGTCTTATAGATATAATAGAGGCAGCTTGTAGATAATAGAGATGTCTTATAGATATAATAGAGACATTTTATAGTCATAGATAATAGAGGCAGCTTGTAGATAATAGAGATGTCTTTTAGATAATAGAGGCAGCTTGTAGATATTAGAGATGTCATATAGATAATAGAGATGTCTTATAGATAATAGAGATGTCTTATAGATAATAGAGATGTCTTATAGATTTAATAGAGGCAGCTTGTAGATAATAGAGATGTCTTATAGATAATAATGGGAACACTTTACATGTTGAGACAGTTAAAATTTACAGACATTTAGGACAGTATAGAGACAGCTTATAGGTAATCAAGGCAGCTTGTAGACAGTAGAAACATCTTGTAGATAATAGAGATGTCTAATAGATAATAGAGAAGTTTTGTAGATAATAGAGACATCTTGTAAATAATATGAGATGTCTTATAGATAATAGAGATGTCTTGTAAATAAAAGAGTTGTCTTGTAGATAATAGAGACGTCTTGTAAATAATAGATACGTCTTGTAGATAATAGGGACGTCTTATAGATAATAGAGACGTCTTGTAAATAATAGAGATGTCTTGTAGATAATAGGGACGTCCTAAAGATAATAGAGACGTCTTGTAAATATTAGAGACGTCTTGTAGATAATCTTAGAGTTAGGGTTAGGACTAACCTAGCCGCATAAAACAGTTTATTTTGGGGAATTTTGGGGTTCATATTATAATCCATCAGCAACACAGTATATTGCTTTTGTTAAAAACTAACTTTGTGATGTCAGATTTCATGAATAAAGTGCTGTTTACATTGATTGTTGTTCCTGTGTTTGGTCGGCTGTCAGGTGGGCTGCGAAACACAATCCCTAGTTTTGACAGGCAGCGGGTGGAAAAACAAAAAGTTGAGGAACACTGTAAAATACATCTTGTAGACAATTTGGGTATAGGATCTCTGTGCTATTAACCTTCTCCTTCTTCTTTTTCTTCCTTCTTCTTCATGTCCTCTTTTACCGCTTCGGGTGTCGAGGGAGAAATAGTGTCCGATTTGTTTTCTTCTGGCTGCTTCGACTATAGCAATGTATGTTAACCTCCACCCTGCTATAATCAGTCTCCTTTTGAGCCGTCTGCATCATCATCGCTAATTAGAGAATCAAGGTTTGTGGTCGACATTTAGTTTAGCCTGTTGTTGTGTGTTATGTTTTGTTCTGACTCACTGAGTATGTTGAGAAAGGTGGAGACGGGCATGCTGCGTGCAAAGTGGCAAGCATCACTTCAGAGGTCACAGGTAGTTGGCATCCTTTGGATATATTCTCCAGGTGTGGTGGGAAATGAGCAGGCAGTAGACTGGCCGGTTCTGCACCACTTGGGGGTGAATTGATGTATGACAAGCTTGATATTGGAAGGGGCCCTTTGGGAGCAAGTGAACAGTGCAGAGGGACGAATAGATCATTTAAGTTTGAGGAGAATGGCACTGCCAATAAGACATTATACCGGTACTATTGGAATTGGAACTCTTTCCGTGCTGCTGAAGATAGGGACGGAGCGCTAGTGCTATGATTGTGATTCTTTATTCGACATTCAGCATATGTTTTATATGTGTATGTGTGTTTTTTTTTATCTGCAGTTGAAATACCTATTTTTCTCTTTCAGATCTGTGTTATTATATAATTCTTTAGCACAGCAAAGAACAGAAGTGGTAAAACTGTGGACAAACTGGCCCTATGTTGAAGTCAGGGATACCGATGGTGTTGCTATCCATAGCCAGGTGGAGCCATTCTGGTCAAGTACGGAGACTACGGATAAGAATAAATTCAAGGTATTTTTTATGCTATATTTAATAAGTAATGTAATTCTAAAGACCACTGACCCTCCAGAATGCAACGTCAAAGTAACTGGGACAAACCTCAAGCAAGTTTGCATGTTTAAGTACTTGGATACCCTGAAAACATCAGATGGAAGATGTGTTGAGGAAGTTAAATGTTGAATAGCTCAAGCAAGTTTGCATGTTTAGTACTTGGGTACCCTGAAAACATCAGATGGAGATGTGTTGAGGAAGTTAAATGTTGAATAGCTCAAGCAAGTTGCATGTTTAAGTACTTGGATACCCTGAAAACATCAGATGGAAGATGTGTTGAGGAAGTTAAATGTTGAATAGCTCAAGCAAGTTTGCATGTTTAAGTACTTGGGTACCCTGAAAACATCAGATGGAAGATGTGTTGAGGAAGTTAAATGTTGAATAGCTCAAGCAAGTTTGCATGTTTAAGTACTTGGGTACCCTGAAAACATCAGATGGAAGATGTGTTGAGGAAGTTAAATGTTGAATAGCTCAAGCAAGTTTGCATGTTTAAGTACTTGGGTACCCTGAAAAACATCAGATGGAAGATGTGTTGAGGAAGTTAAATGTTGAATAGCTCAAGCAAGTTTGCATGTTTAAGTACTTGGGTACCCTGAAAACATCAGATGGAAGATGTATTGAGGAAGTTAAATGTTGAATAGCTCAAGCAAGTTTGCATGTTTAAGTACTTGGGTACCCTGATAACATCAGATGGAAGATGTATTGAGGAAGTTAAATGTTGAATAGCTCAAGCAAAGGCAACATTTTACAAAATAAAGAATATTTTATGCAGTTCTTCTTTGTCACAAACAAATGTTTCAATCAAAGTCTTTATCAACGGAGTACTAATTTACGGTTCTGTTGTCCTGCCCAATGAGTTTTCTAGTCACAGTTTCTGCTGTGTTTAGTAATCTTTTGATAAACACTTTAGTCAAAACATTCATTTGTGTTTGTTTGGGTTTTTCCATCCTTTCCATGCACTTTCTAGTCACATTTTGTGTTATATTTAACGAGTATTTTATGGAAGCAGGACAGAGGAAAGGTGGTAGTGATGATTTCTAATTAATGTTTCTCATTTACAGGTGTCATTTGTGGCCGATGTTTCTGGTCTTGGCATCAAAAAATACACCATCAGGAAGGTAGTAAAGGGTTCGGACACACGGAACCATATTGTATCAGTGGTCATCCTGAATTCTGATACAAAAATAGATATCAATGAGTATGTATTTTTTGTTGATTTGTATTATATTGTGGGTCTATTTAAAAAAAATAGTTTTACATCTTTAAGCTCTCTCCTCAGAAAGATGGGGATACCCAGATACTGACACCAGAGGAGATAAAGTGGAGGACTGGGAAATAGACTCCAAACTTCATTTATTTAACAAACCAGAAGACAAACCCAGCTTCTACTTTAGAAGATGGTGCAAATCTTCCACTTCTGACTTATCCTTCTGCACAGGAGACATTCTTCACAAAACTTATCGCAGTGTACTAGATCAGTTAGCAGGCAGCGATCACAGACCAGTGAAGCTTGTTGTAAATATGGATTTTGTCCCACAGGAGCAGAAACCATTGCCTTTGTGGAATAACAAACGAGCTGATTAGGATAAATTTGCTTTGCTCACAGACGAGTACTGTAAAAACATGAACACACCATATAGCAACCTCCTTGGATGGCGGGGAATGCTCATGTTCTGCCCCTGCCTAATCTTGAGGGCTGATCAGCATCACATGGCCTCTCTGGACCAGCCTATTGGGGCACCACCTGTGACCTGGGAAATAAAGATGTCCACACAACAATAAGACTGCCATGTCCCCAGAAACTAACCGGGAAGGCTAACCCGGTCAACAAATGCCCGCAGAAGTCGGATGTGTTGGCCAAAAAGTGCAAAAATCGCAGACATGCTGTAAACGGATACAATGCAATTACATCTTCGGATAAATGCAGAGGAAGAAGAATTAACTCTCTCTAATCTGGTTCAGATGTTACTACAATTTTTTTTTTTTTAAACTCGCTGAAATTTCTGGTTGTTCGTCCACTTCGGATTTGATTGATTTGATTCAAGAACCGACATCACAGCACTCAGGGCATTCCCATAAGCGCTCCGTCCCCATCTTCAGCAGCCAGCGAAGAGTTCCGATACTAATGGTGCCAGTAGCATTCCGATTAAACGTCCGTCTTGCCTTTCCTTTGAGCCTCAAGCATCTGCCGGAACCTCTCGTCACTCCCCCCTGCATCAATCTCACCAGACTGGTTATCCATCTGCTCCTCTGAACTGTACACGCTCCTCCACAAGGCACTAATCACGTCTACCCTATCATGTATCAGTATTCCACCAAGTTGTGCAGAGCCAGCCAGTCTGTCTGCCTGTTCATTTCTAAAACACACCGCATACACAGTGAAAAAATCCAGACAATACTTCTCACCCGTGTCCTCCACAGCGAAGCATGCCACTCTGCAGGAAGCATACCTGTTCTGATCTTCCTCAGCATGCTTTCTGAGTCAGTTACAATCACGATGTGTGTGTGTGTGTGTGTCGTGTTCTCTAGCCAGCCGATCTTTGGCCTTATTTGGTGTTCTTGAGCGTACCTGCACATCCTTTTGACAGATGTGGCTTGTGGGCAGACTATTGGTTTCTAGCATCTCAGGCAGATGCAGTCTGATTTTGAAAGAAACGTCGGTGCTACTGCCTGTGCCCAGGCCTGGCAGGGAGCCTGTTTCTTGGGTGACCTCAATGAGGTGTAGGTGTCTTGACTGAAATTAGACCTGGTGCTGGTGCATTGCCATGAGCCAATCAGCATCTCTGCCTACAGATGTTTGAGTCCTTGTGGGTTAGCCCTTTCACCACTGGTGACCTAGAAAAGAAAAAGAAAGAAAAAAAAAAAAACAAGCCAAGCTCCTGTAATTAGTTCCGTTTTTCAGCAATTCCTGAATACACAAATATCCATAGAATGATGAACATTTCACACATGCCACAAAACCACACAATCAATTTATCATCAAAACATGAACAGATTCTATACGAAGTAAGAGGAGTGATCAAATGAAATAATTGCAGTATAGAATCAGCTGGCTTATACATCTCTTGTGGTTGTTGGGTAGCGATATTGATGCCAATCTATTACCCACTTGTAACATTGTTCAGAGGCATCGCAAGCTAACCAAGTGTCTAAAGGTGACTGATTCAGCCTCACTCCTATATGAAAGTTCCCTCCCCCCAAACCAACCTCCTGGTGACTAATAGGGTTTCCCTACTTGGAAGTACTAAGTTAACACAGTTCTCATAGTCCTATCAAACCACTAACACTGAGAACAGTCCGCAGCCAACCACATCAACAAATTGGGAAGAGTCATTTCTTTACTCATGCTTCAGCCTGTTTATTTGGACACAGACATCGGACCATGCTTCCGCACGCTTGGACTTGCTTAGAGGCACTGAACCCAAGACCCATGGTCCCCCTTTAGCTCCTTCTCTGAGCCCCGCAAGGTTCTCGTTAAGCGCGTGCAGTTCACTGTTATTCGTGGATCTCTTGAAACACCTCTTTCACGAATACGTGCACCTCATGAATCTTTGCACTCGTCTCTCACCTCAAGCCACATGGACCCCTTTTGCCCACATCTCTATTACCATCATCATCCTGTGCCCTACGAAAGGCGAAGGTGATCATGCCTATGACCAACCCAGTAAATTTAGCACGCCACCGGGGTCTGCAAAGCAATGATAACATAACACTTATTTGACCTTGTGACCTGGTCACTTGATATCCATTGTAGCTCTGAGGAAATGTGATTTCAATTATGCTTGATGGGTAGCAATGACTACTGTCATTCTGTGCTGACGTAGAACCTCTTTAATATTGGATTCAGTTTCCATGGTATTTAGTTTGGAGAAAAAAAAAGACCGTTTTCCTGGTTTTCAGATGTTAGTACAGTAGTCATAACATAGAAGAGATTGGGGCCTTGTCATTTAATATCAGCTATAGTTAGCAGCAGATACATTGGAGTTGAAACATGCAGATTAGCAGAACCTCTGGCCCTCTACACATACAGCTGAATGGTTCTGGCCTGAATCAAGTTAGGGAATATCTAGGAAGTCAGATCACTGAAGATGGTAGAATTGACAGAGAGTGCAGAGAGACAGATTTTAAACAGCATATTCATTCCAACATTAAGCTACCAGTGCTAAACATGGACACTATCTAAAGTCCATGTACGCCAAGTCACCTCTTGCAAGATGAGATGCCTTAGAAAATCTGCTCACCTAACCACCCTAGATCAAGTGAATAATGATACTGTCAGACATATTGTGGGAACGACATCTTGTACTAGATTCATCAAGAAACAGCAGACCTAATGGTTTTATACATCACATTAGAATGCAGCAAGATCAAATACCATCACAAGCACTACATCTCAGAAAAACAGCTACAAAAGCAAGAGGACGGCCTCCATAAAATGGATTGACAACATTAAAGACACTCTACTTCTTCATGGCATGTCATTGTAACTGACTCACAGAGAATGCTGAGAAAGGCGGAGACAGGCATGCTCTGTGCAGAGTGCCAAGCATCACTTCAGAGGTCCCGGGTAGTTATCATCCTTTGGATATTTTCTCCAGGAAATGATGGTGTGTTAGGAAATGAGCAGTCAGATAGACTGGCCAGTTCTGCACCACTTGGTGGTGAACTTATATATGATAAGCTGGATATTGTGAGGGCCCTTTGGGAGCGAGTGACCAGTGCCGAGGAACAGATAGATTATTACGGTCTGAGGAGAATGGCACTATGAGGAGTTACAAGGGGATCTGGCCAACGCTCGACACTCGGGGGAGAGGCGAGTCGGATATACAATCAGACTGTTACTGGTACCATCGGAATTTTAACTCTTCGCTTGCTGCCGAAGATGGGGGACGGAGCACTTATGGGAGTGTCCCGAGTGCTGTGATGTCGATTTTTAATTCAACATTCAACATTCACGGCATGACAAAAGCCAATGGCAACCAGCACGCACTGGATCACAAATTTTTCCTCCCTACTATGCTAAACAGCAGAAGTAGTTTATGATGATGATGATGACATAGGAGCTAACTTCCATTGTGGAGATGACACCATTGGAAAAAATTACATGACAAGAATGTGGAGAAAACTAAGAGACATACATGATGTGCAAAGTAATCATTGAACATGGAGAGAGATACATGAGTTGTCTTGTTGTGGAAGAACTAACTTAGCTGCAATGTTAGCTTTTTACAAATAGTCTTCCAAATAGTTTATGATATGTTTGACTTACTTCTTGCTGCCTTGCTGGCTCATCCCCAGAAATTTACACAGAACTGTTATATTTTCCAGACAAACTCTTCTCTACCACAAAAGTTGACAGTGAGAGTGATTTCACCTTGGACACCAACTTCTTGTCTGCAAGTTTCAGTAGTATGGGTTTGTTAAAGGTGAATTGATATTTTTTTCTTTCCTCAGTTGGGGTAAGGCTTTTTGTTTCCTTCATTGGGGTAAGGTTTTTTGTTTCCTCTGTTGGGTTAATATTTTTGTTGTTTCCTTCATTGGAGTGAGGTTTTTTGTTTCCTTCAGTGGAGTAAGGTTTTTGTTTTGTTTTCTTCGTTGGGTTAATATTTTTGGTTTCATTCATTGGGGTGTTGTTTTTTTTTTGTTACTTCACTGGGGTAAGTTTTTGTTTTGTTTTTTCGTTTCCTTTATTAGTGTAAGGTTTTTGTTTCCTTCATTGGGGTAAGGTTTTTAGTTTCGTTTTTTTGGGGGTAAGGTTATTTTCTTATTTCCTGCATAAGGTAAGGTTTTTTTTTGTTTCCCTCATTGATGTAAGTTTTTTTTTTTAGTTCCTTCATTGGGGTAAGTTTTTTTTTTTCTCCCTGTATTGGGGTTGGTTTTTTTTGTTTCCTTCATTAGGGTAATGTGTCTTCTCTTTCTTTTCCTCTTCCCTTTCTCTTTTCCTTGCCATGACTTATTCTTATCGTCAGCTCAATCTTCTTCTTCCTTCCTTTTGCACTACTTTCTTCTTTTTTTTCTGTCTCCCTCTTTTCTTCTTCCCCTTGTCTTCATCCTCCTCCTCTTCTTCTCTCCCTCCTCCTTCCCTCCCTTTTCATCGCTTGTTCTCAATCTTTTTCTCTTTTCTTTCCAGCCTCCCTACTCTACTTTTTTTCTTCTTCCTCTTCTTCTCTCCTCCTCCTCTTCTCTCCTCCTCCTCCTCTTCTCTTCCTTCTCCTTCAACCCCTTATCCTCTAACATCTTTATCTTCCTCCCTGTTTTACCTTACTGTCAGCATCAGATAAGAAAAAATATCTGATTTGAGTTCCTGTGTATGCTTCACAGATGGGGCTATTTACAACCTCAGATATTGCTGTATGCTTACACTGCAATGGAAGCCGCCGTGGTGTCATGGCTAGATAGCTGGCCTGCGGATCCGAACATAGTGAGTTTAAATCTAAAGGAGTCTAATGGACTTTAAAAGAAAACATGACCTTGGCACCCAGGTTGACCCAGGCTCAATGGGTAGCAGCTAAGTCCTGGGAAGTAAAAAGTGGCTATCATGAACCTGACCTGATAGATGGCAGGTTTGCTGGCCCATGGATCACGCAGACATTGTTAATGCCCTTAAAGAGATAGGACGTTCTGCGGATTTTGGAAGCAACGTGTCCACATCACTGCTAAGAATACGAGAATTGGGAGTAAAGACGGCACAGCCAAGCATGAGAAGCATACCGGACGGACACAAAGTCTTGTCAGCCAGCATAGGACTGGCACTATTAACCGTGCGACGCTGATGAATATCTTGAGGGGGAATCTGAGCACCTATGGATGTGTCCAGAGTGCTGCGAAAATAATCCAACTAATAACTCATAACCAACAGAGTGCCAACTGGTCTAAAGATATAGGTCTACCACTGTACACCCAATACACCCAGAGGCGGGGAAAAGGGTCATTTGCTGTACTGCGACACAAGGAAGAGGTTGCTAACCCATTTGTTTATTTCTTCTTTATTCATCAGTCGGTCAAGTCCCTGTCCAGTGGTAAAACTTTCAAGTCTCAAATGGATTTTATACAGTATGGGACAGCGAGGGCTCAAGACAAGTCCGGTGCCTATCTGTTTTTGCCAGATGGAGATGCTAAAGTATGTTCACTTTATAAATATTTGTAAATGGCAAATTTGTAACTATTTTATATATCTGATATATTTATATATATAAAATAGGATATGCACGTCTGTAGTTTAGGTGTTACAATTCCAAGGTGCTGTGTTAGATCCCAGCTACGGGCGATTTGGCAACAGACCATCTTGCTTTGGTTTCATCAGTGATATCAGGAGCCGCCCATTCAGAGAGCAATGGCAAACTACTGAAGGTTCAATTGCCTAGTGCAGTCACAAACAGCAAACAGTTCTGGGATTGGTTCTACAACATTCTGAAAAATGCATGCAACTAAATTTAAAATTGTTTTTTTTTTTTAAAGGATGTATGTGAGTACATGTAAGTGTGTGTGTGCATGTATACTCATGTGCATGTACACCTGTGTGCATGTATACTCATGTGCATGTATACTCATGTGCATGTACACCTGTGTGCATGAATACTCATGTGCATATATACCTGTATGCATGTATACTCATGTGCATATATACCTGTATGCATGTATACTCGTGTGCATGTATACCCACCTGTGTGCATGTATACTGATGTGCATGTACACCTGTGTGCATGTATACCTGTGTGCATGTATACCTGTGTGCATGTATACCTGTGTGCATGTATACCTGTGTGCATGTATACCTGTGTGCATGTATACCTGTGTGCATATAATATATATATATTAGGGCAGGGGGGGGGATTTGGGTTAGTTTTCATCAATGTTTATTTCACAACCTAACACCCCTATCCTGTTGGACTTTCCCAGGAACTCCTCACAAAATCTCACAGTCCCCAAGATATGGTGAACAAAAAAAAAAGTACCGAAGACTAAACTTAATTTCTAAGTCTGATACAAGAGCCAAGATGGCACACTGGGCACATACTTTCCTGTCAGTCCAAAGATCTTTGGCTGTCAAATGGACAGGTGTTCCCACTCTCAGTGCCTGAGATGGTGTAAACAACAAAAGGACCTAGTCTGCCAGAGAATTCTGAGAAAAGTGGCCGGCCAGACGGGTAAGAACTCTGGGCTCTCATGTGTAAGACACAGGTTTGAATCCTCGGCATGGTGGACTTTTTAAAATATCCTTAACCTGCACAGCTCGTGGCGACAGCAATAGCTGTGTGACCCTAAATCTTCAACCTCAAACCCTCCCACCCCCTTTTCCCCCGCCGCCAAAAGTGGTAAATACAGGTAGTAATCAAAGAAAAAATGGCGAAGTGGTCAAGCCGTTTGCCTCACTCTCTGAAAGTTGAAAATTCATTTCATGGCTGCAACGTTCAGTTCATGAGTGCAATTTTTACAGAGATCCCTCGAGATCATCATCAGAGCAAGGGAGTTTGTGTATTGTGCTATGTTTTTGGCAGGTGGGCTTGCCGTTCTGTGGAGGAAGACCTAACCATGTGGGATAAAACCCGGTGCAATGAAGTCGATCCTCTCAAGCATTGCCTAGAAAACAATTTTTTTTTTAAAGCAAATTCGGGACCAACCAACCGAGTCAGCCACCACATCTCTTTCCAAAACCAGAATCCATTGCTGTTGTTTGACCGCATCTGCATCTTCTCTTTCAGCCTCTTTTGGCCAGCAAACCCAGCATGGTTAAAATCCTCAGAGGGCCCATCACATCAGAAGTCCATGTGGTCACTCAGTATGTCCAGCAAGTGGTGAGACTGCATAATTCTCCAGGTGAGCATGTGGGCAGTGTCTTGTGTGGGTCCTCTTCTTTTTCCCGCTTTTTTTGATAGCATAAGGGGACTGTAGCAGTTAGTGACTAGGACACCCACACCTGGCTTGATAGTCTTCAGTTAAAATCCTCATTGAGTGGCATATTTTGTTTTCTTCCAAAATGACCTTGGCTGACAGGTTGACCTAGGATAAAGTGGGTAGCTGGGAGGTGAAGGCAGCGGGCATGATGTTGACCTTATCGCGCAAAAAAGTGCCGAGTACACAAAACACCAACAATTAGCAATATTTTTCGGGCAGTCAGTGTGACAGTTATACATTGGAATGCTCCGCCTTCTCGACCCAAATCCAACAGCCCTGGGGACTTTTTCAGTAATTGTACTTTTTCCAAGGATCCAGTCATAACTAGCTTGCTGGCCTCATGCGACCATCCTCACAGTACCTGCTCTACTGCAGCCATTAAGACCCACAAAAGAGGTTATAGGGTGACAAGTGTGCGATAGAGACTTTCCAGGGGAGTGATACCTCACCTTCTTCTTCTTCTTCTACTTCTTCTCTGCCTCCTCCTCCTTCAGCCGGTATCAACAGCTAGTAAAATGCTGCGGGTTGCTGGCTGGTCACTAAGCTTGACACCTCCGCAACATAGCACAAGCCCTGCAACACGGCAATTCTAGAAGATGGATATAACAGTAGATCATGGATGTTGTTATCAGAGACTTAGACTTGATTGTACTATTCCTTAAATGAGCGATAGATTTAAGATGTCGTGGACCATGGATCAGTAATGTCATCAATAGATGACGGATATAACAACAGGTCAAAATCCTTCAGCAGCAGCCTCTTTCAACTGAAACATCGTCAGGATACTCTCCCCTCCGTTATTGTGGTTTTTGTTGATAAAGGCTACTGCGAAATGTCCGATTGTTCCTATTTATGTTTTTTTCCCCTTTTCCATATATGTTAAGCTTCTTAATCAGTTTGTTTTGATAATGTGCGAGTATAAATAATTATTTTATGTCATCTTTACTATATTACATGGACAGTACACTGTTACTCTTTCTAATAGATAAGTAATGTGTATATAATATAATAGATAACTTACTTCTTACATGGTTCTCTAGGGAAATAAAGTAACCTATTTGTAAGTCATCTTTCCATAACACATGCTTGCTTATATGCTTCTGCATCATGTTTCTTGTTATTAATCTAATATATCAGTGGGGGGAAACCTGTTAATATATTACATTCCTCAGTTATTTTACTGGATGTGTCTGTTATTTCACAATGTGTCTGTTATTCTATGATGTGTCTGTTATTCCATGATGTGTCTGTTATCTGATGATGTGTCTATTATTCCACAATGTATCTCTTATTCCATGATGTGTCTGTTATTCCAAGTGTCTGTTATTCCAAGGTGTGTCTGTTATCTGATGATGTGTCTATTATTCCACAATGTGTCTCTTATTCCACAATGTGTCTCTTATTCCACAATGTGTCTCTTATTCCACAATGTGTCTCTTATTCCATGATGTGTCTCTTATCCCATGATGTATCTGTTATTCCACTTCCATTTTTTAAAATGTCTGTAGAAATAACACATTTATATATTAAATTCCTCAATAATATTTGCATATGTCTCTGTTGTTCATACTTCAATTTTTCTAACATGTCAGTAAAAATAACACGTTTATATTCTTCTTTTTCCTCCTCACGTTCACTGGATATAAACTTCCGGGGTTCTGGGGTTTTTGTCCACCTTTGGACTTAAGTCTTTATTCAGAACAAGAGTTTTGCATGCACATCTGTTTCACAAATCTGGCTTATTTGTATGCAGATTCTTGGTTCCTTGCCTTTCTGGCAGATGGGCTCGAAGAAAGCTACCAATTAGTAGACTCTTACGACATGCTTTTGGGCAGTCAGTGGGTCAATTCTTGTTTTCCCCACAATGGGTCCTAGAATCCACACAGGGAAGCTTATATTACATTCTTCATTTAGTATGGTAGGCGTATCTGTTATTTGTATTTCAATTTTTTCTAACATATTAATAGAATAACACATTTATATGTACAATTCCTGATTTGTTTTGGTAGATCTGTCTCTCATTCATACTTCCCTTAGATAGATATAACAACCACATTTCCATGTAATTCCCCCCCCCCCCCCCTCCCCCTTTCCAATAAATGTATAGGCACAGATGGGTCATCCGTGGATGTGTACAATGTTGTGGATATCAGAAACACTGCCAACATGGAGGTTGGCATGCGTCTACACACGGATGTGGATAACAGCCAGCAGATTTTCTACTCAGACTTAAATGGTTTTCAGGTGACTGTTTGCTGTTGCTTGTTTTGTGTGAAAATCATTTTGTGTGACTGTCGGAGTTTTCATTTGTTTTTTGTATGTTTTTTTTTTTTCAACCTTTTACCACAAGAAGTCACAACTTCATCACTTCCGGTTGGTACCGTTCTCCCCAAAATCTGCTTTCCAAACTCGCCATAGGGACTTTTTTATGAGATGTCTAGCTAATAGAATTAATTTCATTTGCGTCTGAACAAATGGGCAGAGTGAAAGGGATAACAAAATTTGCTAAAAATGGTATTTTTCCTTTAAAAGAAACATGGCTTTATTTATAGAACTGTCTGTGTTTCATTTTGCCCTTTGGCTACAGTTGTTTGGGAGACCCGGGTTCGAATCCTTGGTAAGGCTGGGGTTTTTCTGTCGGGAGCACACACAAATTCTGACCTGCGCAGTCGTGGACAGCACTAGCCTTGCGACCATAAATCCTTAAGCTTAAAGACTTACACCGCAAAAGTGCTATAATAAAGGGAGTAATTGGCAGTGTTTTGGTTGGGGGGGGGAGGGGGGGGGGGGGGGGGGGGGGGGGGGCTCCAATTGTTACCTGGCAACCGGGATGAAGATGTAAGCCAGTTGATTCTGTGCTGCATTCAGTTTTGATGATTACTCTTTCTGTAATATTTGTTCATATTTTCTTCTTCTTTGTGTTCAGAAAGTTTGTGCTGTTTGTCCACTTCTGGACTTTAGTCTTGCTTCAAAACTTGAAATTTGCTTGTACATCTGTTTTACAGACCAGGTTAATTTGTAAGCAGACTGCTGGTTCATTGCCTCTAAGGTAGATGCACCCTGACTTTGAGAGAAACACCCCCAATTAGTAGACTTTTACGACATGGTTAGGGGTTGCATTGGATGCATTCTTTTTCCACCTCCAGAATGGGACCCTGGACCAAATAAGGGATGATGATGATAAAATCATGTGTGTGTTTTTGTGTGTGTGTGATGTGTAAAATGGTTGTCTTTTTTTTTTCCTAACGATTTTTTTAAAATGGAAATTTTGGGGGCTTGGCTTTGATTTGTTTAGGTCACTGGGGTGAAAGGGTCAGATCTGGGCTGTTTGCTTTTTAGTAAGCAGATGAGCTGAAAAAAACCACATTAACTTGCAGTAGAATTGTGGTATTTATAGAAGAATGCACAGAATTTCATACAATGATATGAAATCAAACAGGCAGTCCCCTTGAGGCATAAAAAGTCGTAGACTAATTAGAGTGTAGTCAGTCCCATGTTTTCAGACATGAGAAGTTATAGGCTCGAGAATTTTGTAACAACTGGCAAGAGTGATAGAAAGAGAGAGAAGGGTCAAGAGTGAACTGCCTGGATGGCTTAACCATCTGAATGGGGTAAGAGGAAACTATAATAACCTGATCTGTAATTCTTGTGATCATGTGAGATTATGGAATTTAACAGCCCATGGTTATCATGATAGTCCCGACCTGAAAGATACCAACGTTGACACAGACACTTGGGAGAGATCCCCTGCAGACTGACTGCTATGGAGGCAGACATTGAAATATGGACTGTCGCAATTTTCTAGAGGCCAAACACAGTAAGCTATACTGAGGAGATGTCTGCGAGAAGACCAGCTTCAGATAAGAAGAACTACACAGCGGGAGCTTGCACACCAGGAGTCTACCGATCTTCAGTAGGTGTCTCCTTTTCAACAATTATTTCAGCCTGTTATTCTCCTAGACAATCTCAAGGGGGCGGCTGACTGGGTCATGATGCCAAGCCTCAGATTTCTCCTGCTGCGCTTTATCGGACATTCTGACAAAACATAATGGTGATTTACAATATTTACTGAGGTTATGGTGTTATATATCATCACTGCGGTAGCAGATTGAGCACCTGCCTGCACGACAAGAGTGACAAATGGACGGTTGGTTCATCGGACAGACGTGTAGGGGACAGACTTTGGCAGTTGGCAGTAGCACGGGCAGACGTAGATTGGACAACTTTGGCTTAAAGGATTTAAATGTTCTTTTCCACTAGGGGCTCAGACCAGCCTACCATATAATAGAGCAGGGGTTCTCAAATTTTTGGCCGTGGCATCCTTGGCATACGATCAAGGCACCCCCAGGGTGCTGCGGCACCCAGTTTGAGAACCTCTGAAGTAGAGTGTCAACATTTTTATACAGACTGTATGGTAGAGACTGCAACTCCTGCATTGGACTTTACAGTCATAACAGAGGCTGTTCCGAACTAGGCAACCATTGTAATTTAGTTATGCAGTGGATACCTTCCCACTGTGGAGTTCCTGGAAACGAAAGAGCTGATAAACTAGCTAAGGAAGTTGCAACTGAAGAACAACCCGACATACCAGTCTCTTATCAACAGAATGCCACCAAAACTGGCACAAGATGATTAACATATTATGGACAGACCAGAGCAAGTCATTATCCTTTGCCTTAGAACAGGGCACAATCAACTTTGCTGCCACATGTACACAAAATTGAAGATTGGCCAATCAGCCATGTGTACCTGTGGACTGGCACCTGAGACAATAGATCATATCCTCCAAGACTGTCCCAGATTCAACACTTCCAAGCAAAACTTCTGGCCAAAAGAGACACTTAGGGAAGTCAAACTTTATGGGCCGCTTAGTGAATTACAAAAGACAGTGAATTTCATACCAGAGAAAGCATTGCAGATATAGATAATTTATTTCATGCGAACGAAAGAAGAAGAGGCCCCTGATGGTTTCTTTGGGCTTCAGCATTGTTGAGTCACTCCCAAAGGGTCTCGACCTCATGTAGCTTGTCCTGCATCAGTTTACCATCAAGTGGTGCAGAACCAGCCAGTCTGTCTGCCTTCTGTAATTTCCTGAAATGCCCAGGAGAAAAGATCCAAAGGATGCTAACTACACAGGATTTCTAAAGCAATGCTTGCCACTCTGCATAGAATATGTATTACCCCAAGCTTTGATGGTGACGCTCACCGAGTTGGACTTTGAGTTACTTTGCAGCCATCAGGTGCCTCAATATCATCATCATGTTCCACTTTTCCAGTGGATCTCTTCTTCTTTTCCCTAAATGTACCACACAGAACCCACATGGAGAAAGGAATTGGTTCAAATCCCAACTTGTTCTCTCGCTGTCCACAGATGCAGCAAAGGAAGTACTATCGTAAACTGACACTGCAAGGCAACGTCTACCCCATGGCGACGATGGCCTACCTTCAGGACAGGAGCAAGAGGGTCAGCGTCCTGACTTCACAGTCCTCAGGGGTAGCTAATTTAGTCCAAGGTTAGTGGCTGAATGATTGGTCTTTTCATTTTCTCTAGAATGACTGGATAGTCTTTCTTTTTTTTTTTTTTTTTCTAGTGTGACTGGATAGTCTATTTTATTGTCTATAGTAAGACTGGAGAGTCTTCTTGCTGTCAGCAGTATTACTGGAGGTTATAGTAACATTTTCTGGCCCAGAAAGAGGGTGACTTTCCTTCTCATACATGCCTCATCATGTCGCAGGGCCTGTCCTATGTTGCGTGGGTGTCACGCTTAGTGACCGGCCACCAGCGCGTAGTATTATCATGTCGCAGGGCATGTCCTATGTTGTGGGGGTGTGACGCTTAGTGACCGGCCACCAGCGCGTAGTATTGTTGTCATCGGCTGGTGATATCGTGTGTTCTGTATTCCATGATGTGAGTGCTTTTAACGGTCCCAAAACATGTAGTACTAACCTCAACTGGAACCCCCCTACTCCACAGTCTCAGATTAGGCCACAGGTCTGTATGCAGCATATAATAAGGGCTGCATGCAGTTGTGGGACGTTGACTGCACTGTCTCGTGGGACATTGGTTGCACTCTCTCAAATGACATAGGCTAAGGCTGTTGGGTTGAGGTTAGGGCCAGTTCTACATGTTTTGGGACCGTTAAAAGCGCTCACCTCATGAAATAAAGAACATGAGATATCGGTGCAAGCACTTGACTGAATAGTCTTCTTATTGTCTGTAATATGACTGGATAGTCTTCTTCTTGTCTGTAGTATGACTGGATAGTCTTCTTGTTGTCTGTTGTATGACTGGATAGTCTTCTTGTTGTCTGTTGTATGACTGGATAGTCTTCTTGTTGCCTGTTGTATGCCTGGATAGTCTGTCTTGTTGTCTGCAGTATGACTTGATAGATTGCAATAGGAAATTGCAATAATGTGTTGAAAGATAAAAAAAAAAAAAATAGCACAGCTAACCTAGAAATGGCAGTCAGAATGTCATGTGCCAGTGTCCTGTCGCTACAATTCGTTCACCGTTTGAAAGGAGTTCTTGTGACAGACAAACAGACACATGTGTTTTGTTTATAGTTTAGATTAAGCTCAACAGCAGTAAGTAGAGTTTGTGATTAACCTTTGTTGCAATTTGATAATATTACCAGGTGCTATAGATGTCATGTTTGATCGCCGTCTCAACCAAGATGACAACCGAGGGCTGGGTCAGGGAGTGCTGGACAACAAACCAACCCCAAGTCGATTTAGAATATTGTTTGAAAGCCGAGAGTCTGATGTTGAGGTAGGTATTCTATCAGCATCTTTAACCCACAAATTACCAAGCCAGTTAGCCCTGCAATTGACCTGATACCACATATTTTAGTGTCTTAGTTTATTTTAGTGCCTTAGTTTCACAGATATTTTATATAAAAGGTTACTTGATTATCCTTCACAGGACGTTGCAGAACCAACCCCATCAGCGCTTGGCTGTTGTGTGGTTTTTTTCTAGGAAAATTTATGTCCAGTAGTTTGCCATTGCTTTCTGGACGGTCGGCTTTCTTGATACCACTGTCGAAACCAACACAAGGCGCATGGCCTGCAGCTGGGATCGAACCCGACATTACGAAGCGTTCACATCGACTTAGCCACAGAGCTGACATTTTATAAATACTTATCATATTTTGTATTTTGGCATCAGATTGAATGGAGAACATATTTCAATACAAAACTTGTGTTTATTTTGTTTTACATCATCATCATGTGGCTGTAGATTAGATCAGAAATAAGGCAACCGAAAGATCTGACATCTGACAGCAACATAGGCTAACAAAAATGCCACAGCTTTACAACTATTCAACCTACACTTATCATATTTTTGTAAATATTTGAACAAAATTGAATGGAGAATAAATTTCAAGCACAGAATATGCTTTATTTTGTTTTTAAACATCATCATATGACTGTAGATATGGTACACAAAAAAAGGCAACCAAAAAATCTTTTATCTGTCAGCAATATAGACTGTGTGCCTTCAATAAACTGTCTAACATCTGGAAATCAAAGACACTTAGCAAACACACAAAACTCAAGATCTTCAATTCTTGTGTGATTCCAGTACTAACCTATGGATGCGAGAGCTGGAAATCAACGAAAACTCTAGACACAAAATTATACAGTTTTGAAAATAAATGCCTTAGAAGAATACTAAATTTCAAAGGTCAGATTTCCGAACCAATACACAAATAAGGCAAGAATCCAGGCAAGAGTATGTGTCTAATTTTATACGAAAACGCCGCTGGAACTATGTCGGCCACGCCCTTAGAATGGATAAATCAAGACTTCCTTACCAAGCCCTCATTTGGACACCACAGGGGAAAAGATCTCGTGGAAGACCAAGGGAAACCCTACGTAGAACTATCATCAGGGAAGGCTCGCTCATGGGCCACTCAAACATCCAAGACCTACAACGGATTGCAACGGACCGCCGTGCATGGAGAGTCGCGACCTCTGCCCTATGTGCCGCACTCGACACAAGAGGAAAGACTAATATAGACTAAATTTCATGACATATTAAACGTGAGATAGTTTTGTTTTATCAGTTTAGAAAATGGTGTGCAATTCAGTATCAATATATCTAAACATAAAAATTCATATTTATCAATTTTCACAGCCAACATTTGTCAGTAGTAATATACAGTACAGTTTCATAGCATCAAACAGTAAAATGTGGCACCTGACGTTTCCTACACTAGTAACTTGTCATGGTCCCTTTGCGGCTCTTTTTATTTTCTGGAATTTCATGTTTATCTTTTTCTACACACACTGTGCACCTTCTTGGTAAATAGGGGTGCTTCAGAAAGGCCTTGCAAATTACAAAGCCAGTCATCAACCCGGCAGTTCTTCCTCGCACTCATCAGATGATGATGATGATTCTGCGTCAGAAGCGCAAAGATTTCTTCTTGTTCAGGCACAGACAGTGTCTTCAAAATCTACAGGCTCTGACTGAAGACTCGCACTAGAACTATCAGTGTCAGAAACTGCCCGCGCTAATGCTTGCAGCCATTGGTGTAGCTGCCTGTTAAGTCTTTACAAGACTTGACTTTAAAGTGGCATGCTGTCGTTTTGCTGTCAGCTGTGTTTTTTGATGGCACTTTGTTAAACTTATCAAAGTCATAGTCATTAAACTGTTCAGTAATATCTTCACTTTCACTTTTTCACTTTGAGAAGAAAATCACACACATCAGCAGAAATTGAGTGAATACAACAATGGCTCCGAGAATTTGACACCATAAACAAATATCCTTGATGTTTCACCATCATGAGAGCTCACAATGAAACTTTGTCAGAAATGTACAATAAGCGCTACAGAGTTGTTTTCCTTAAAGAAACACAGAGAAATGAATGGACTAAATTCGTCACAAAAATTTTGATTTTAACGTGACGGCGAGTGTCCAAAGGATGTGATCATGGTTGCTAACTAAATGTCACCTGATCACATAACATGCTGTCATGGTAGTCAGTGGGTTAAACAGCATTAAACGTCTATGGTTAAGTATCAGCACGGAAAACAAAGTCAGTTTGAACCACTTTCCTGAAACAACTTACAGATGTGAGTCTTGACCATCTCACAGTCATTGAAGGAGAAAAGATGGACTTTTGAGCTGAACTGCAGTAGAAAGATTCTCAGAATACCATGGACCCAGAAAAAACATACTGACATCCTACAAGATCTGAACATCAAGGAAGATTGGTTAGTAAACAGCAGCTTGTCTCAAACACTGACATATTTTTGGCCATATCAAGCCATGGGATAACTATGCATTAATTTGTTTCTTTTCTTTGTTGTTGTTGTTGTTGTTAGCATGAAAGCACTATCTGATAACTATGTATTTCAAGAGAAAGACGACATCAGATAACTATGCTTTAAAAATAAAAATTTAAACAGGATATTGTTGAATCTTTCCCAGAATCCCAACCCAGAAACTTCTTTCCCATCTCTTTTGGGTCAGCTGTCCTCGCTGGCTCTCATCCACCCGATATTTGTGATGCCCCAAAGTGAAACGGGCAAGGAGCCCAGTCTGGGCAGCTCTGTCTCGTTGCTGAGTGAGTCGTTGTCCTGCGAACTTCATCTGCTGAATCTGAGAACACTGCAGAATAGTGATGACCAGCCTGAGGTATGGGTGTAATTTTTCAGAACTTTTTTCTTTGAATGTTCTTACTTTGACAGCTGTCTTTTATAGATTCTTTTTGTTATTTTTCTTCCTCGTCTTTCTTTGGTAATCAGGTAATCGCAGTTCCAACTTCCTAGAAAATGGGTCACCCCATAGTTGCTCCATTCCTGTGCTTGGGTCACCCCATAGTTGCTCCATTCCTGTGCTTGGGTCACCCCATAGTTGCTCCATTCTTGTGCTTGGGTAACCCCATAGTTGATCCATTCTTGTGCTTGGGTCACCCCATAGTTGCTCCATTCCTGTGCTTGGGTCACCCCATAGTTGCTCCATTCTTGTGCTTGGGTAACCCCATAGTTGATCCATTCCTGTGCTTGGGTAACCCCATAGTTGCTCCATTCTTGTGCTTGGGCAACCCCATAGTTGCTCCATTCTTGTGCTTGGGTAACCCCATATTTGCTCCATTCTTGTGCTTGGGTAACCCCATAGTTGCTCCATTCTTGTGCTTGGGTAACCCCATAGTTGCTCCATTCCTGTTCTTGGGTCACCCCATAGTTGCTCCATTCCTGTGCTTGGGTCACACCATAGTTGCTCCATTCTTGTGCTTGGGTAACCCCATAGTTGCTACATTCCTGTGCCTGGATCACGCCATAGTTGCTCCATTCCTGTGCTTGGGTCACCCCACAGGTTGCTCCATTCCTGTGCTTGGGTCACCCCATAGTTGCTACATTCCTGTGCCTGGGTCACGCCATAGTTGCTCCATTCCTGTGCTTGGGTCACCCCCATAGTTGCTCCATTCCTGTGCTTGGGTCACCCCCATATTTGCTCCATTCCTGTGCTTGGGTCACCCAATAGTTGCTCCATTCCTGTGCTTGGGTCACCCCATAGTTGCTCCATTCTTGTGCTTGGGTAACCCCATAGTTGATCCATTCCTGTGCTTGGGTAACCCCATAGTTGCTCCATTCTTGTGCTTGGGCAACCCCATAGTTGCTCCATTCTTGTGCTTGGGTAACCCCATATTTGCTCCATTCTTGTGCTTGGGTAACCCCATAGTTGCTCCATTCTTGTGCTTGGGTAACCCCATAGTTGCTCCATTCCTGTTCTTGGGTCACCCCATAGTTGCTCCATTCCTGTGCTTGGGTCACACCATAGTTGCTCCATTCTTGTGCTTGGGTAACCCCATAGTTGCTCCATTCCTGGGCTTGGGTCACACCATAGTTGCTCCATTCCTGTGCTTGGGTCACCCCATAGTTGCTCCATTCCTGTGCTTGGGTCACCCCCATAGTTGCTCCATTCCTGTGCTTGGGTCACCCCATAGTTGCTACATTCCTGTGCCTGGATCACGCCATAGTTGCTCCATTCCTGTGCTTGGGTCACCCCACAGGTTGCTGCATTCCTGTGCTTGGGTCACCCCCATAGTTGCTCCATTCCTGTGCTTGGGTCACCTCATAGTTGCTCCATTCCTGTGCTTGGGTCACCCCATAGTTGCTCCATTCCTGTGCTTGGGTCACCCATAGTTGCTCCATTCCTGTGCTTGGGTCACCCCATAGTTGCTCCATTCCTGTGCTTGGGTCACCCCATAGTTGCTACATTCCTGTGCCTGGGTCACGCCATAGTTGCTCCATTCCTGTGCTTGGGTCACCCCCATAGTTGCTCCATTCCTGTGCTTGGGTCACCCCCATATTTGCTCCATTCCTGTGCTTGGGTCACCCAATAGTTGCTCCATTCCTGTGCTTGGGTCACCCAATAGTTGCTCCATTCCTGTGCTTGGGTCACCCCATAGTTGCTCCATTCCTGTGCTTGGGTCACCCCCATAGTTGCTCCATTCCTGTGCTTGGGTCACCCCATAGTTGCTCCATTCCTTTGCTTGGGTCACCCAATAGTTGCTCCATTTCCTGTGCTTGGGTCACCCCCAATAGTTGCTCCATTCCTGTGCTTGGGTCACCCCATAGTTGCTCCATTCCTGTGCTTGGGTCACCCCATAGCTGCTCCATTCCTGTGCTAATGAAAGACGCAAACAATGTATATCACTATCCCTTGTGAAAAGAATAATCAACCAGCGTAGACACATTAAATGTAAAAGCAGCCGTCAGAAGTGCCAGCACAATCAGTCCAGTACTAGAGATGCAGTTCATAAGCGATGGAAGCAGCAATTGCAACAGATCAATAGTTTGCACATGCAGTTAACTGTATAATGCACCACCATTTCTCTGGCAACAGATTTGCCATTTTATGAACAGTTCACACGAACCAGATTTGGCACAGTTGAAAAATGTTTCATTGGGCGGTGTGGTTAACAGCATGCCTGCCCCTTTTACTTCCCAGGACTTGACCTGGTCTCCATTTTAGTCTTGGTTGCCCTGGGATTCAAGGCCTTGTTTGAAAACCTATTCAATGTGGATTCAAATCTAAGACATTTAGGGCCAGCAGGCGAGCTTCTGATCACTACAATACAGATCTTGGAATATAAGGGTGCTAATTATTTCTACATCACACTGATAATGGGCATCATGTGCGTCCCATAAGTTTCCGTACATTGACAAAATAAACGTATCACCAATACCATTCACCTTCATGAGATGCTAGTTAAGGGACAGTGGGTTTATCCTTTATTGCCCCCAAATTTCTCAAATCTCACATGAGAAATGGATAAGTCTGTGATATTTGAAAATTGGCAACATTTGGAGTTTAAAATCTACCCAAAGTATTTCAGGATCCTCAGTGTTGCTACAGAGTTCATGCACTGTGCTGAGATTCTTCGGACTAAGGCTTAAGTTAGAAGTAGAACGGATCACTTGTGGGTTACCACCCTTGTGATGTGATGTTGATCTGTTGTATAAACAAATGAGGCCATTAAAAGTACAATTTCAGATGTTCTTATACGTGTTCTTATACGTGTTCTTATACGTGTTCTTTAGCAGTGGGGACACACATCAGAATCTGTTCTCAAAACAGTGCTATTTTTCCTACGCGTGGAAACTTTTGGGGCTGGCTTGTTCTGCATCCCCTTCTGTGATGAATTGATGTTCAGTTGAGTCAAGAATTTACATCACAGCACTCGGGGCATTCCCATGTGTGCTCCATCCTCATCTTCAGCAGCCAGTGCAGAGTTCCAATACTGGTGATACTGGTCACAGTCTGGTTCTGTGTCCGTCTTGCCTTTCCTCTGAGTGTAGTGAGCCGGCCAGACCTTCTGGTTACGTTCAGATGCCTCATTCTCTCTAAACCATTATAATCTTGCTTCTCTACTGATTCTGTTGCTTGTTCCTAAAGGACCTTGACCACATCTGCCTTGTCATGTATCAGTTCACCACCCATTGGTGCAGATCCAGCCAATTTGTCTGCCTGTTCATGACCCACTACGCTGGCATAGCCTGGAAAAAAGATCCAAAGTATGCTCACTACTCGTAAATTGATGTATGACAAGCTAGATGTTGTGAGTGAACGGTGCAGAGACACAGATAGAATATTATGATCTGATAAGAGGAGTTACCAGGGATCTCAAGGGAAAGTGGAGACAGATATACAGTCAGACAGTCCGATTTTGAACTCTTCGCTTTCTGCTGAAGATGGGGAATGGAGTGCTTATGGAAGTGTCCTGTGTGCTGTGATGTCAATTCTTAATTCAGCATTCAATATTCTTGCATTTGTGTATGAAGCTTTTACTCACAATATTTTGGGGTGTCTACATTTAAGCTGAAGTATGTGCCCAAAGAGTCTAGTCTACTGCTGCTTAGACATTTACCAAGTGACTGTTCCTTCACATCTCCTAGCCTGTCCTGCACACCTGGAGCTGGCAAGGTAGAAAACATTCCTTTGATTACCATATTTTTTAAAATGCATAACATAACATAACCCTTGACCCGTTAGGGTCGTGGAGGTGTATCGATGGAAGCACACAAAACCCACCATCTTTTTCTGTCTTCTGCTTGATGAATAAGTGTATGATAACTTAGTCCTCTACATTTCTCAATGTTGTCATTCCAGGTTCTTTCGACTATCCCCAAATGTTCCTTAAAGCACAGTCTTTGCAATCAAAAGGGGCTGTATGGTCTCAAGGCATAGTATCTGCCTCGAGTGCTAGAGGTTCCGGGTTCAATCCCTGGTAAGGGCTGGGATTTTTTCAAATGGACTTGGACTTCTAGTAATTCCTCCTGGTCTCTGGGTAATGAGATCGGACACCTGTGTGCATTTTTGCGCACATAAAAAAATCCCTTGGCAGTTGGAAATTGAAAAGAGTAGCCTAATGGCGCTGCCCGGGCAAAATTTGGAGTTTAAAATCTACCCATAGTATTTCAGGATCCTCAAGGGTGCTACAGAGCCTGTGCTGAGCTTTTTCGAACTCAGACTTGAGTAAGAAGAAGAACGGAGCACTTATGGGTTACTACCCATGTGCCACTGGATTTTTGTCGTGGTATGGGGCGTCACAGGCCGACCCAGTCTAAAATGGGTACCAGGATGGGCTGTCCTGGGAAAGTAAAGACAGCCGGCGTAATGCTGACCACATTACCCACAGTGCTGATGGTCTGTAAAAATATGGGACGCGCTGCCCATTTGCCCGATGCGCCGAAAGGCGTGAAAAGGGATCTTTTCTTTCCTTTACTTACCCATGTGCCATGATGTTGATCTGTTGTTCAGACTTCAAACTTGCAATCAAATTTTGTCTCACCACGTGCCCGAAGCAACCGAGCTGGTGACATTTCACCACCGCCAGAAGAGGCTCCTGATGTTGTGCAGATTTGTTAATTTTTGTCTCTGACATATTTTCTTGTCTAAGAAGCTAAAAACATTAATGTTGTCGTATACGTGGATCCCCATGTGGGTTCAGGGGCCCCTATTTAATAGAGAGGAAAAAAAAAGAATAGACCCATTGCCTACCCAAAAGCATGTCGTAAATGTCGACTAATTGGGAGCTTCCTTTGAAGTCGGAGTGCATCTGCCTGAGAGGCGACCAGCAGTCTGCATACAAATGAGTCAGATCTGTAAAACAGATGCACACGCAACACTGAAGTTCTGGAACAGGACTGCAGTCCGGAAGTGGATGAACAACCAGAACTTTCCGCCAGAGTTTACAGCTGGTGAACGCAAAGAAGAAGAAGTATATATGTGGAGAAATAAGGTACTTAGTTATCATTATCATCATCCATTTGTGTCACACTGGGCTTACAGTCTAGTTTTCCATTTTGTCTTGTGCCAGTCTCTTGATATCATAGATGTAGTCTGGTCCAGCACCTTTGGCCTCTCTCTACAACATTCACCTCAAGGTTTCTCTTGGGGGTCCTTATTTGCTTCCCATTTCAGTGCCTGCTTTGTAATTCTCTGTCCATTTCTTCTACTGATGTGCCCAATATATTACCTTTTTATTTGTTGATAATTAATGATACAAGGGGTTGTCCAGATATAGAGCCACCGGGCGAGTGAAGATCAACCACACCAGGACTGCACAGCGAGCAATTTAACACCTGGTGGAACAAATTAGTCCACCATGACAATTTTGTTTTATTTTAAAGCCCCACCCCGGTTGGACTTCAGGTTACTTCGTGACTGTTGTCGGGGCCCTAAAATAACCTCAAGGTTGAACTGGGTTTCTGGGACTTGCGCCTGGGAGATTTTCATCCAGATGGTGGCACTTTGTGTTAAACTTTGTGTTAAACGCTGAAATGGGAAAAAGAGGGATGGAGGAGACGAGAATGTGCAAGAGATCGTTGATAACAGAAGGCAGAGCTGCTGGACTGGATTCCGTCCATGATATCAGAGAGATTGCACAGAGTAGAGAGGAATGGAGAAACAAAGTGCAGACCTTTTATGACATATAATGACACAACAGGGCAACAAATGAACAATAAAGACATATAATGACACAACAGGGCAACAAATGAACAATAAAGACATATAATGACACAACAGGGCAACAAATGAACAATAATGACATATAATGACACAACAGGGCAACAAATGAACAATAAAGACATATAATGGCACAACAGGGCAACAAATGAACAATAAAGACATATAATGACACAACAGGGCAACAAATGAACAATAAAGACATATAATGACACAACAGGGCAACAAATGAACAATAAAATGACATATAATGGCACAAAAAAGCTGGATGTGGCAACAAATGAACAATAAAGACATATAATGACACAACAGGGCAACAAATGAACACAAAAAAGATATAATGGCACAACAGGGCAACAAATGAATAAACAAGCTGGATGTAATGGCACAACAGGGCAACAAATGAACAATAAAGACATATAATGACACAACAGGGCAACAAATGAACAATAAAGACATATAATGGCACAACAGGGCAACAAATGAACAATAAAGACAAATAATGACACAACAGGGCAACAAATGAACAATAAAGACATATAATGACACAACAGGGCAACAAATGAATAAAAAGCTGGATGTGGTGAAGGTCTTTAAGAGGAAATGAACAATAAAGACATATAATGGCACAACAGGGCAATGAATGAATAAAAAGCTGGATGTGGTGAAATTTTTGGGAGAAAATGAACAATAAAGACATTAATGGCACAAAGGACAATGAATGAATAAAAAGCTGGAGGTGGTAAAGGTCTTTGGGAGCAAATGAAAAATGAGGACAGATAAGCATGGTCTGGAGAGTAGGGTACACCTAGGAGTGACCGGTGGATCTGACCGACTGTCTACACTCAGAGGAAAGGCAGAATGGACATGTCATCAAACTGCCACTGGTGTTGTTGGAATCAGTGCTGGCTGCTGAAGATGATTTGGCTGCTGAGGATGAGACTAGAGCATGTCTGATAATGTTTTGAGTGATGTGAAGTGAATAAGGGTTTATAACAAAAGCAAATGGAAATCGCTCAGTGCAGCAAAGCCTGGCATATATCACCATGTCTGGTTTGAGAATGGAGGTTGAGGCAGTCACTGCTGCCTTCCACTGGCTTGAGAATTAGCTGTACACACATGCTGTGATTGTAACTGACTCACAGATAATGTTGAGACAGGTGGAAACAGACATGCTCTGTACAGAGTGGCAAGCATCACTTTAAAAGTCCCAGGTAGTTAGCATCCTTTGGATATTTTCTCCATGTAATGTAGGTGTGTTGGGAAGTTAGCAGACAGATAGACTGACTGGTTCAGCAACACTTGGTGGTGAATTGATGAATGACAAGTTAGATGTTGTGGGGACCTTTTGGGAACGAGGGAACTGTGCGGAGGCACAGACAGATCATTACGGCCTGGGGAGAATGGCGCTGCGAGGAGTTACCAGGGGATCTGGCTGACGCTCAATTTCCCATGGAAAAGGCAAGACAGATATACAATCAGACAGTTACTGGTGTCATCGGAGTTGGAACTCTTTGCTTGCTGCTGAAGATAGGGGATGGAGCCTTATGGGAGTGCCCCAAATGCTATGATGTTGATTCTTAATTCAGCTTTCATCATTCGAGTGATGTTATCTTGGTTCCTGACTTACCTCAACTCAGCTAACTGACACTGTAGTAAATTTGGCTAACTTCCTGCTCTTTCAGGTTGTACTAACCAACATGTTCTCTGTGGCGGGAGTCAAGAAAAGTGTGCAGACGTCACTGACAATGAATAAAATCATAACCGAGATAACCCCGTCTTCCCCCTTGCAAGTACAGCCAATGGAAATAATGGCTGTTCAAATAGAGTTTTCTTGATGTTTTAATCTTGTTTAATCTTGTATGTATCAATTGGATGTAGGTAATCTAGCCACTAAAATTGTTATTGTTATAAGTTATTTATGATTGTAATGATTGATTAGCTGTTTTATAATGATTGGTTCAATTCAGTTGAGTTATTGTTAAATTATATTGAATTCTGTACTGATTGATTAACTGTTGTATAAATATTGGTTGAGTTTAGTTAGGTTATTTATTTATGATTGTCCATAGTTTGTAATGATTGATTTACTTCTCTAATGATTGGTTCATCTCATTTGTTTATGATTAACTGAAGTGATTAATTCACTCTTTTATAATGATTGGTCAACTTTATTTTTTTAAATGATTGACTGGATTGATTGATTGATTATTTTTTTATGTTTGGTTCATTTTGTTTCAGTTTTTTTATGATTGTAAAGATCTGTGGTCTTCAACCTCGTACCCCACACCCCCCCCCTTGAGTATTTGGCAAATCTCCCAGGCTCCCCTTGAGTATATAGCAAGACCCCCGCACCCTCATTGGGTATATGGCAAGACTCCCACGCCCTCATTGGGTATATGGCAAGACTCCCACGCCCTCATTGGGTATATGGCAAGACTCCCACGCCCTCATTGGGTAAATGGCAAGACCCCCGCACCCTCATTGGGTATATGGCAAGATTCCCACGCCCTCATTGGGTATATGGCAAGACTCCCACGCCCTCATTGGGTATATAGCAAGACTCCCGCACCCTCATTGGGTATATAGCAAGACCCCCGCACCCTCATTGGGTATATAGCAAGACCCCCGCACCCTCATTGGGTATATGGCAAGACCCCCGCACCCTCATTGGGTATATAGCAAGACCCCCGCACCCTCATTGGGTATATGGCAAGACTCCCACGCCCTCATTGGGTATATGGCAAGACTCCCACGCCCTTATTGGGTATATGGCAAGTCTCCCATGCTCCCCTTGAGTATATAGCAAGACCCCCGCACCCTCATTGGGTATATGGCAAGACTCCCACACCCTCATTGGGTATATGGCAAGACCCCCACACCTTCATTGGGTATATGGCAAGACTCCCACACCCTCATTGGGTATATGGCAAGACTCCCATGCCCTCATTGACTATATGTCAAGACCCCAACTCCTCACGCACCACCTTCCCACCTCTGCATTACAAAATGTGATTAAAAAGGTGACAGTAAATTCCACGTGAAGGAAAACAAAAAAAAGTATGGAGATAGTTTTAGTCAGAACGTGTTCCTAATCTTTAATTAGATGCACATCTTATGATATTAGTAGATTTTTAATATTAAAAACAATAAAACTGTCCTTGTCATTTTAGTTTAATAGTTTTGAAAACATTTAATTTAAAATTAAACTAAAACAAATGTGAGTGTGTATATATATATATATATATATATATATACATATATACATACAGAGAGAGAGAGAGATTATTACACGTTCAAATGCATCTTTCCTGTAGCAACATACGGACTATCTCCCAGTACTTAAGGAAGAAACTAGGGGCTCTTGAGCTGACATTCTATAGAAAGATTCTCAGAATATCATGGACAAAGAAGAAAAGAAATACTGTCATTCCAAAAGATCTGAACATCAAAAAAGATTGGCTAATAAACAGCATCTTGTCTCGGATGGTTATATCAGGTGCCATAACGCATTGGAAAATAATAATTGCAGAAGGCAGGGTACCTGGAAGAAGGGCAGGGGTAGACCAGCATAAAGATGGGCAGCACGGCATACAAGTAACTCCTTGAATATAAAAGTGCACGAGGCAAAAGAGCTGTTGAGAGACCGGATTTCTTTCAGGCAGACTGTGAGTGGATTGACCTTTTGCAAAGGACCTGCTAAAAGGTGATAATGAAAACAAATGCACTCATTTTCAAAATCGCTTAGCGTACCCCCCCCCCCCCCCCACCCCCGCCCAAAAAACTTCCTTCTGCCTTCCCCTCCCCAAACCTCCTTGCGTTCCCCTTCCGAAACCTTAATGTTGGGCCCTCCTCCTAGGTTGGAGACTACTGATTTAGCTACTGTGATGATTGATTCATTGATTTATAATGACTGATTTCACTTGCGTATCTTGTCGTCATCATTTGTTACAGTTTTTTTAAATAGCTGAGCATAAAGAATAACTGCACTACTTTGGGACCCACGTCTGTGAGAATTTCTGTTAGTGATTTTTTTTTTTTAAATAAGTAAAGTTCTTCTTCTTTCATTTGCTTGAAATAGATTATCTATATCTGCAGTCTTGTCTTTAGTATGAACTTCACTGTCTTTTCTAATTCACTCAGCGACCCATACAATTTGACTTGCACCTGTGTTTCTCATGGCCAAAAGTTTTGCTTTGATATGTTGTATTTGGGACAGTCTTGGAGGACATGATCTGTTGTCTCAGGTGCCAGTCCACATGTGCACATGGCTGATTCGCCGATTTTAAATTTCGTGTACATGTGGCTGCGAAGTCGACTTTGCCCTGTTCTAAGGTGTAGAAAAAAAACTTGCTCTGGTCTGTCCATAAAATGGTAATCATCTTGTTCTGGTTTTGGTGGCTTTCTTATTGATTTGATAAAAATTTCCTATAGCATCTGTGTGTGGCATCCTGATTTTTACGGTGTGCCTCCTGGTGGGATGCCTCTGACTTCAGCTTCTTATTTTTAATAAGTAACAGTAAAGGACCTTTTTCTATGCCATCTGGATTTACAGTGCTAGTTCTATTTTTTTTTTAGAAGAATCGACAATGTGGCTCTTCTTCTTCTTTCGTTCACCTGAAATAAGTTGTCTATATCAGCAGTTTTGTCTCTTGTATAAATTTCGCTGTCGTTGTTAGTTCATTCAGTGGTCCATAGAGTTTACGTTCCACTGTTGTTCTTTCTGGCCAAAAGGTTTGCCTTAATGTGTCAAATTCGGTGCAGTCCTGGAGTACATGCTCTGCTGTCTGGGGCACCTTTCCACAGGTGCACATGGCTGATACACCTATCTTGAATTTTATGTACATGTGGTTACGTAATCGGTTGTGGCCTGTTCTGAGGCGGAGGATAATGACTTGTTCTGGTCTGTCCATATTAAAATAGTCGTCTTGTGCTGGGGCTGGTGGTTTCCTGCAATCAGTGGTCAGCATCATGCCAGCCGCCTTTACTTCCCAGGACTTTATCTGGTGCCATTTAATGCTTGGTTGATTTCGGAGCCAACATCATTTTTTTTAGAGTCCAGCTCATTTCAGATTTGAACCTATGACCTTTGTGTTTGTGGGCTAGCGTTAGCCGCTACATCACAGGGGCTGCCAGTTTTTTAAATGTACAACTAATTGTTCAGAGAAAGATTGATTGCTTTTACTCTAGACAAATTAGATTACCAGTTGCTACACTATAAATCATATTTATCTACAAAGTTTAAGAATCAGGCTAGATGCTCGCCCTGAACCCGAAAGGCATTGGTTCAAATCCGCAGTGAGTTGGATATTTTTTTTAAATATGCCCTTGGCTGCCAGGTCAACCCAGCTAAAAATTGGTATCAAAACAAAGTAAAGAAGTAAAGACGGCCAGCCTGATGTTGACTGCACCCCCCAAGTGTCCAGTAATTATTATAATTTGTGACAGTCATTGGGATGGTCATGAAGACTACCTGATACCCCAGTGTGGTTTCCAGGGCTCCATCTGGGGAGGGAGAATAGACCCATGGCCTCCCTAACAAGCATTTGAGGTACTTTTCCAATAGCCGACTACAAGCAGGGGACAGTCTGATATTTCAGGGGGTGGTAAATAAAGCATATAGCGTAGTAATTTGGCATTTCATTTGCCGTGCAGTTTTGTGCAGTGCAGTTTTCACTTTTCTGCGGGAAGAAGAAACACATGAAATCCTTGGCAACACCTTGGAAGACACAGAAAGAAGAGCTGGGAGTCGGAGTACATCTACCTGAGAGGCAAGGAACCAACAGCTGCATTCAAATAAACCGGCTGTGTCAAACAGATGTTCTCTCAGAACTCAAGTTCCGAAACAAGACCAAAGTTCTGAAGTGGACAAACAGCCAAAACTTTCTACCGGAGTTTACAGCCAGGAAACCAGAAAAGAAGAGACTGCCACAGTAATGGAGCATTTATGGGATTAAATTAAAACCCCGTCTACCTACCTTTAATATATCTTGTTTGTTCTGTTGTATTTTTCAGAACTTGTTAATTTATCACCATTTCAGTTCAAATAGTTTTTGTCATTTTTTCAGTATTCCATATATCAGTTACCTCTTAAACAGTGTCATCACACTTATTTGTTCTTTGTCCTTATTTTAGTACCATATAGATGTACATTTGAAGTTGTTTTTTTGTTAAGACCAAGTTGTATGGCATATGAAGTTAGCAGATTTTGTTTTTCTCTCAATGCCATCTGTGTTATCTGTATGCTCAGAATTTCTTTGTGGACAGTCATACATTCACCTACTGCTTTTGTTGACAGATACTTGATGTTAAATGTATTCTAGTCGGTTTAGCTTTACTAATGATGTGCATTCATGACATGCTGATGGTCTTATGTGTGAAGCTAAGGGGTTGAATGTGAAGGTATCTGGTCAAAGTATCCATTTAGTTTGTTGAACTGGTGTCATTACTAATCAGTGTATAGCAGTGTTCCTCAAACTTTTCTTAGTCGTGCCACTTTTTTTTCTATTAGAATGTTTCCGCAGCGCCCTAATCTAAGTAAAAGCATGACTATTCCTATGTCAGAGATTATCAAAAAAATTAAACTTGTGTATCTTCGAATATTTCTCGGTGCCGCGGTGCACAGTTTAGGAATCACTGGTGTATAGAGTCATTCTAAAACTCACGGCTGGTTTGAGTGATATATTAATATTGATTATTAAGAATCATCGTTTAAGTTGATGGTTTAAATGATACATTTTTTTAGGGCTTAGGTTGATAGGTTAAAAATGTTGATGGGCTTAACTTGAACAGTTAAAATTAAATGTTGATTGGCTAACTCATTTGGTTAAATTGATAT